CCTGCTAGTGCTGGAGGCAGGGCAGGGTACCCGGAGCTGGTGACCTCAACTTGTCCAGGTGATCTGCCCAACTTCTCCCCACCAGTACATCCGCCATGAGAGGAGTCCGACTTCCAAATCTCCTGCTGGTGGTACACACAGGGAGGTTGGTGGACCGGTGGGTCAGTGACGGGAGTATGCTCCAGAAGTCCCTGGCCATCAGCGTCTCCAGTTTCAGATTTCATCACAGCAGCCGTGCCCCTGGCACCTCCCCCACCCCTCCCGCCCTGGGAGCCCTGGCCAGCTACTTTCCATTGCAGGAAACATCTGCTGGGGAGGCCAGGCTAGGCCGGGGGGTTACTGGAGGGTGTTGGCCAGTACCAGCACCCAGATCCTGTAACTTGAGGCATGTGTAGGGCTCTGGGCCTGCCCGCCCGCCCACCCACCCACCCGGCCTCCCTCCTGCCACGGGCGACTCTAACAAAGAAGTTGTTTGCTGGTCAGCTAAGGAGAGCACAGTCTGGGGAAGGAAAGGGGTGTGTGTAGGGGTGGGGGTGAGAGCAGGTCTTGTTGCCACAGCCAGGGGTGGCCGCTCTGCCTGGGAGAGGGCTGTGAGTCATAGGGACCAGCGCCCGCCCAGCGGAGAGATTGCATGGTGAACGGGCTGCCTTATGGGACGGGCCAGACGGAGCTGGGAAGCTGGGAGCTCATTCTCTCCCCGGAGTTTCCGACGAACTGTGAGCTGTGTGTGAGTAACCAGCGGGGTGCACCTCTGGACCTGGCTGTGGGGTTGTCCTCTTCCTGCGCAGTTTGTCCACCAGGGGCCTGCTATCCCCAGCCCTCCAGCCGGGCCCCCGTGCACCTGCCGTCTTCTGGCCTCAGCTGGCCTCTTGGAGTGGCTGGCCACACTGAACCAGAACAAGGGGCTTCACCGCATCCCCTCTGGGTCACCCTCCGTCCAAAGACCAGCCCACCTTGTGGGAGCCAAAGTGGGACGAAGCAAAACCTGGCCATGGGAGACTGGCCGGCCAGCCTGTCCCAAGCAGCATGCTGACCATACCCTCCCACTTGTGAGGTTTCGTGCTGGGAACAGAGCTCTGGGAGAGAAAAGGAGGCCAGTCAGGGTCACATAGACCCTCTGCCGAGAAGCCGGAGGTTGCCTGTCTGTGTTCAGCCCAGACGAGACTGACTGTTTTCATCCTGAGGGGACAGTTGGGAACCAGAGCTCCAGGAGCCAGGCTCCACTGGGAGGTGGAGCCGTGGGTAGCGATGGAATCTTTGACTGAGCCTGGGGTCCTCCGGAGCCTCCTGCTGGAGCAGGACAGCCAGCCTTTGCAGTGGTACCTGAAGAAGTTTCCGGATACACCTGCTGGTGCAGAACTCTGCTGCTGGCATGAATCTGAGGAGATCCCAGCCGTGAGTGTGCATCCCAAAATCTCTGGGCCCCTGTGACCATTCTGCCGTACCCCTGTAATTCCCCACTCGGCCCTGCTGCCTGAGGGCCCCCCATCTGACCATCCTTGAACCAAAATTCTCTGACCATTTTAAATTAAAGTAGGTGAGCCACGCCTCACTTTTGGAGGAGATTGCTTTGAGAGCATGGGGGTGGGAGGCAGAGGGTCGTGGGCTCTTGAATCAAAAGGATATATGGTGGCAGGTCGACCTGATGAATCTCTGCTTTAGAGTCTGGGAGGCAGAGACCGGCCTGCCATCCACGTTGGCAGCCTGGGAGAATAAGGGCATTTATTTGCAAGGTTGGGTTAAGGAGTCCCTGCCCCCAAGCAAGTTTTTGTAGAGCTGGCTGAGTTCAGAGGTCAGGGCTGGGAGTTGCCCTCCCTCTCCCCAGGGCTACAGCTTTGTTCGGAGGAGAGGAGGGGAGCGGCTCCCTCCATTTGCCGGGGGTTTGGTTTGGAGATGATTGCCAGATGCCATGTACCTCCACCTCTGTCAATGTCTCAGTTCCCGGTGGAGGCGAAAGAGGCAGGGGCGAGGCAGCAATGTGGAAAGCACATGAGAAATAGGAAATAGGAGGACTTCCAGGCTTTGGAGAATTGGATGCCTGATGCCTGGTTACACCTGAAGGGGACTTGGGGCCATCTGCTAGGCTGGTCGTCGGGCTGATAGTGGAAAGTAGTAAATATGAAGACTCACCTGATTGATACTTTTTTTTTTTTTTAAAGATTTTTATTTATTTTTTAACAGAGAGAGACACAGCGAGAGAAGGAACACAAGCAGGGGGAATGGGAGAGGGAGAAGCAGGCTTCCTGTGGAGCAGGGAGCCCGATGCAGGGCTCGATCCCAGGACCCTGGGATCATGACCTGAGCCGAAGGCAGACGCTTAATGACTGAGCCACCCAGGCGCCCAATACTTTTTTTTTTTTTTTTTAAAGAAATTTCATTGTGGTAAAGAACCTAAAACTTACCATCTTAAGTATTTCTAAGCATTTCTCAGTTCAGTAGCATTAAGTGCATTCACACTGTTCTGCACCCAATTCCCAGAACTTTTTCATCTTGAAAAAACTGAAGCTTTATTACTACCCTCCTGGGGGAAGAAAAAAAACCCCACTTGTGGGCATGAAAGACTAGTGGGGCCCCCGAGTAGGTGGACATCTCATCCCCCAGAGAGTGTGCTCTGCCAAGGCATCCCTGTTTCCCTCTTGGGACCAAGACCCTGAGCCACCATCCTAGAGCAGTGACTCAGACCAGGGACTGTGGGTCAGATGGCCTTGGTTCATGCTCTCCTCTCCCACTTAGTGACCACATACTTTGGACAAGTTGCTTAACCTCTCTGTGCCTCAACTTCCTGGTGTATAAAATGGGAAAATAAAAAATCTGTGGTCCAGCGAAATGATGCATGTGAAGGGCTAATGACAGTGCTTGGTGTGTGGTAATGACTCATTTCACGTTCACTCAACTGTAGCTCTAGGAGGTCAGTTAGATATGATTAGGAACTTCTTGATGATCAGGTGGGCAAGCAAGGGTTTTCAGTGTGTGGGCTCTGTTCTGCAAGGCCAGGGGGCCAGTTAGATTGGTTATCTCAGTTATCAGTTTGGAATCAACCTGTGGGCCAGAGGAGTGTGGTATTCGGAGGTCTTTTCTAGCCATAGAAGTCAGAGGATAGGTTGGCTTCTCTTGAACGATATAGATCATTCAAATTAACTATAGACAGGGTAGTTGAAAGCACTGGCCACCATCGGGCCACTTAGCCTATCCTCTGACTTCTATGCCAATTCTCCAGGTTGGCTTCTCTAGATAGGTCTTTTCTAGCCATAGAAGTCAGAGGATAGGTTGCCTTCTCCCAATGTCCCTGATACTTGGTTCAAACATATGGCAGGTGATTGTTAAAGTTTGGGGTTCTACAGCATAGCATGGCTTGGGGGAAGGTAGCAGGGCATTGACTACTGCAAGTATAGATCATTTTATAAACAAGCCAAAACAGAAGTTTAAAATTCAAATTAACTATAGACAGAGTAGTTGAAAGCACTGTCTTCTCTCTCTCTCTCTCCTGGAAATCTTCCTGCAAACTGAAGTCATGCCATTCTCTCTCCCCCAACTTCCTGAAATACTCCCATTTCTTCTAGCACAAACACCATCGGGCCACTTAGCTCAGCTAGTCAAAGCGCATGCCCTGAACTCGGTTAGGCCACAGCCCGAGCTTGCTCGAGGGCCACTTAGCTTTGCAAAAAGCCAAAAATCAACCGTCTGAAGCGCATCTCGGCGCCACCGCAGCCGTAACGCCAGTGGGTCCCCAGGGGAGTGGGTGGAAAGTGTAAATGGCCAAGACCTATCTGTCACCATCACCAGGACAATCTGGTGCGCTCCTGGCCTAAGTAGGCCGGTCATGGACGCGCCAATATGGGTACAGATGTTTCTCTGTCGTGATGCATGGCTCTTCCTGGATTGTGCTCTTGTCTTCACGTATCAGGCTTGGGTGCCTTTCATCCACAGGCTACTCCTCCTCTCCTTCTTCCTCTTCCTCCTCTTTTTTTTTTTTTTTTTTTTAATTTTAAGATTGCAAGCTTGGAAAGATGAGGTTCCTGTCTATTCAACTGACTGATGGAATTTCCAAGGAGGATTTGTGAAGGCAGTTTATGGCTATAGGTCTGCACCCAAAAAGCTAAGTGGGCACAGGGTCATCTGGTAGCACAGGTGGTGGGGAGAGGTGAGCAGAGGACCAGGGGTGCAGAAATCTGCCACTGACCAGCTTGGGGACTCGGGCTGGGGTCTCCTCTCTGGCCTTCCTTTCCTCACTGCCAATGGAAGGGTTGGGTTAAATAGTCTCATAAAGGATGGGGAGGGAATCAAGGTTGGGTGCCTCCAGTTACCAGACATGCTTTTAAATTCTCTACTTCTGTGCTTATTCTAGTACTAGTTTTATGTTTTTGGTTTTTTTTTAAATCTAGTCTTGGTAAAGTACAGTTCTCTCCCCCCACCTGCCCAGTTTCACTGAGATATAATTGACAAGTCACATCGTAGTAGTCTTATGATTATTCTTACGATTTTTCTTTTCTAGTCGTCAGTTTCATCCACAGCCCAGTACTTCCTGTGTTAGTCATGATGACCACTGCTTCCGAGGGATGCTCTGAGTAGCATCACATTCTGGGTCCTGCAGGGGCCCTGGGGGAGCCCTCTTGGGCCCCCATTTTGCTGTCAAGGTGGTACTTCCTGCTGGCAGAAGACAGGGCAACAGTAGCTTTTGTGGTGGGTCCCAGGAAGCTCCCTGGAGGTGTCCCTCCTTCCTGTCTCTTCTTGGGATCTAACGTGGACCCTGCTTAGTATGTTTGACATTTTCTCATTGATGGACACTGAATACAAACCCTTTTGGAGTGTCCGATTCTCTCCCTGGTGTTTTTCCATACATACCAAAGTCCCCTTTGCCTCACCGAGCCTCTTAGGGTCTATGGGATAACAGAGCCTCATCTTTGCCTTTTAAACATGCAAGCAGCTGCTCTTCCTGCGTCTTCCTCCCCATCCCCACAGAACCTAGGAACATCCTGCTAACCTCGGTCATTGTCACACAGGTGTTAAGCCCAACTTACAAGCAGAGAAATGAAGACTTCAGAAAGCTCTTTAAGCAACTTCCAGACACGGAGCGCCTCATTGTTGGTGAGCTGGGGGACCTGGGAGCAGGGGGTGGGAGCAGGAAGGAAGTCTGAGTGTCCCAAAGGCAAGACCCAGGCTGCTTCTGTCTTGAGGTTACCCACCAAAGAGCCAACCCAAGTGAGAACATCTGTCTGGGAGCAGGGAGAGAGGATGTCCAGAGCACTGAGCCCCGTGGTTGAGGCTCAGGGCTGAGCAACGTGTGTGTGGCGGCCTCGACAGAGAGCCCAACCTGGAATGAGTCACTGCCACTCTTAACCTCTGCAGATGGCCCAGCAGTGAAGGGTTGGGGTAACTTGGATGGGGGAGGGGTGTTAGTTGACTTTTATTGGTCTTTTCTCCCTGTGACTTTCTCGCTCCTTCCGCCACCTCATCCGTCCCTCTGCCTTCAGGCAGCAGCGGCGTATTTCACGTCACATGGGCTGCTAGGGACTCCCTTGGCCACTAGTTCAAGTGTCTCACCCACCTAGTGAGTAGTAGGCAGTGGGGCTCCCACAGTGCTGGTGGGAGGGATAGCGTGCCTCATTTGTAGTGGTATGCTGAAGATGTTTCCTGTCTCTGAGCTCCTCTGTCCCCCATCCTACCACAGATTACTCCTGTGCACTCCAAAGAGACATTCTTCTTCAGGGCCGACTCTACCTCTCTGAAAATTGGATATGCTTCTACAGCAACATCTTCCGCTGGGAAACTCTGGTAAAGACCTGGGGCTTGGTCCCTGGGCTAGCACTGAGCAAGCTGCCCTTACTCTCCCCCTTTCGTTGACTTCCTACTCTGCCCACACCTTTGCATAATTCATAAAAGCACATGCCTGAGTCTTGAGGGAGAGATCTCCTCTGCAGTGTCTTCTCTTCCCTCCCTCTTTGGTGTGGAAGAGAGCATGAGAGCATTTGCTCTTGGCAGATGCAGGTAAATATTTGGCAGGAGTCACTGCAGAAGGTAGAATAGTTGAGTCAAAGGGGCCCTGGCCTTGGTACTCAGGTCCGGGTTGTACGTTATCTGGGTTCTCCACCTAGTTGGCTGTGTCTCATGAGGCTAGCCCTTTGTTCTTCCTCTGCCTCCTCATCTTATAAAATAAAACAGGAAGAGATAAGCTGGTGACTTTTACCCTGTCACTGTCCTGTGTTTCTTTAAATGCCAAGCAGTGATGGGGTCTGTGCACATTGATAAGACCGTGTAGACGTGAGAAGGAAGGCTCCCTGGACCAGCAGCTGAGGCACCGTGGGGCTCTGGGCGAGGCTCAGCCACCACCTCGCTGTGTGGCCTCTGTGAAATAGGGAGCTAAACCAGATGATCTCTAACGGGGTCCCTTCCAGGTTTGGAAATAAGGAGACGGAGATGTGATTTCCTCTCTCTGGTGCCACGTAAACTCGTGGCCGACTCAATGAATGTCTCTTCTTGCTTATTATCCATTCTCCGTCCCTGTTGGGGGTACCAGCTAACTGTCCGTTTGAAAGACATCTGCTCCATGACTAAAGAAAAGACAGCTCGCCTCATTCCCAATGCCATTCAAGTTTGCACTGACTCAGAAAAGGTAAGTGGAATCTAATCTTGGACCTTCTACTCCCCACCGCCCCAATCCCCCCTTTTGTATTCCTGTCCTTCAGCTGCATGAATATGGAGGCCAGGAGGATGGGGGTGGGGGACGGTAAGGGGATGCAGATCGTAGGGACCACCTCCATTGGATCAGGGTGTGTGGAGTCTGAGCAGGGGTGAGGACGGAAGGTCTATCCATTGGACTTGGAGCCCGAGCACTTGAATTTGAGTCCCGTAACTGTGGGTGTGGTATGTCACCTCTCTCCACGTAAGTTTTCTCATGTGTGACATCGAGCCAGTCGGTCCTATGACAGAGGCTTGAAATGACATCACGGATTTGAAAACACTAAGTTGCAAAGCTCTGTGCAAATGTAAGTTGTTATTATATATCGGCAGAGTCCAGTAGGAAGTGGATTGTCCGCGTCAGCATGGGGGAAAGGTGGTAGGTAACATTTAGGGCCGAGGAAACCCAGGGATCTTTGACCTTTAACCAATTCCTGGAGACTAAGAGCTTCAGGGCTAGGGGTGGACTAGGCCTGAGCTGAACACAAGTCTGCAGAGCCCTTGGACTTGGGCAGTTCAGTGGCAACAACCATGAGATTTGGGGTCAGATAGTCTTTGGTTTGAATTCTGTTTCTGGCCTGAATCAGCCTTGTGATGACAGAAGTCCCCTGATCCCACCAGCCCGTTTCTCTTTATTAGGCGTTAGCAGTTACGTATATTTTCCAAGACTCACATGTGGTTTACACAAAGCAGCAGCATTTGTAAAGCCCCTAGATCGTGTTCAGTAACATCTGGTTCCCCATCATTTCCTTCCGCATGTTATAAAGGGTCCCCGCTAGACGAACCATGAGAGACGATGGACTCTGAAAAACAAACTGAGGGTTCTAGAGGGGAGGGGGGTGGGAGGATGGGTTAGCCTGGTGGTGGGTATTGAGGAGGGCACGTTCTGCATGGAGCACTGGGTGTTATGCACAAACAATGAATCGTGGAACACTTCATCTAAAACTAATGATGTAATGTATGGGGATTAACATAAGAATAAAATAAATAAATAAATAAAGGGTCCCCGCTAACATGTAAGCACAGTAAGAGCAGGAGTCTCTGTTTTGATTGCCCTCGTACCCCAAATATGTAAAATGGTACCCAGCACGTGCTACATTCAAATATTTGTTGAATTAGGGAATGAGAGGGTGAGTGGATTAGTGGGTTTGTCTTCTCCTTCCCAAAGCCCAGGTCTCCTTAACCCAGGTCCAGTTGGTGGATGAAGGAAGTTGTTTTAAAAGGAGATGAAAATCTCCAACCAGAGGGAGAAGCACTGCGGAAAGCAGGGGTGAATACCAAAGGACTTAGCGCCACTGGGGACTTGGTCCCCGTCACTAGAGTACCTTGGTGTCATGGTCACGGATAACCGAGTCCATAGTATTTAGGGATAAAGTCGGTAGCTTTTCTTAAAAGGATGAAGCACCCTGTCTCCCTCTGTTCTATTGTGAGTCTTACCATTCTGTTGTGATACTTCTTGCTGTTTTCTCTTCCCATCTAGCACTTTTTCACTTCATTTGGGGCCCGGGATAGGACGTACATGATGATGTTCCGACTCTGGCAGAATGCGCTCCTTGAAAAGGTAAGTACTGCCCAGCTCCTTCCTTCCTTTGGCCTCTGGACGCACATCCACCTGGAATGTTCTTTCCCCTGGGGTGAGGGCCCCATGGAGAGAGTAGCTCCAGAGCAGCCCACGTGTCCTCAAGGTTCTGGAAGCCCCCCAGACTTGCGGTGAGTTCCATATTCTTCCCTTGGTGGTGGTCTGTGAGCAGCCTCATTGCTGCCTGGAGCAAGGCCCTCGTTGACTTCAGGCACTTCCATCCCACTGTTCTAAAACGTACCAGGGTTTGTGAGACCTGCAGAGGTGGAAAGGACTGTTGGGAAGGAATCAGTTTTTATACTCACAGGTTCATAGAGGCAGAAGCCCATCACACCTTGCAGAATCACATGGGGAAGGGAAGGAGGCCACGGGCTGTCAGGAGGCAGAGAGCGTGAGGGGAAAGCATGGGCAAGAGCTTACATTGTGGCTTTTGCAGGAAGGAATGGGGGAGGCAGGGTAAGCAGGCCAGCCAGGTTTAGGATTGGCTAGTTTGAATAATTCCATCAGGCTTCGGGACATAGAGACTGTCTCTCATTGCCTGGCCCTGGGATACCTAAGGCCAGGTAATATTGGCCCAGACTGTAAGGAGCTGGGAAAGAAGGTGGTTGAGGGTGTAGGCTTTGGAATGGCTGGTTACATATGAAAGGTGCACTTCCGGGCGAGTTGTTTTCTATCTCCAGGAATTAGCTAACCCTGGGACGGACGTTCTCTCCCCAGTCAGCAAGGCCTCAGATGCCAGAGCATCAAAAATTCAGAAAATAGGAAAATAGAGTTAATAGAGCCACCAATATGACTACTCGAGTGTCTGAAGGACTCTGAGGGGACACGGATGTTGGCGATGGTATGGCCGCATTCCCGAGAGAACTCCCACTCAGATGCCAGGGGGTGTTGGGAAAGAGCCCCAAGCCAGGGAAAGAGACATAATAGAAAAGTATGTGGTTATAATTATATTATATATATGACACATATGTATCTACCTTGACTCCTAAACGATCTAAAGTAAACTGAGCAGATTTATTATTTAGAGTTTCTTCTAACCTGAAGGCCTATAGCCCGGGCACAAATCCAGGTAATTTATTTGTGCTGTGATCTTCTGCCTTTATTAGCCATCAGTAATAGTAAAATGATCATGTGTTTGAACCTCCGCTGGCTGGTTTGGATTTTCAGTTCACAGCCATTGTCGTTTCTGAATAAGACAGAAGCTCTCACACAACAGATGTTTGCCGATTGTCCTTGTCCTGCTTATGGTCAGACAAGCCGAGCCTGGAGGCTGGGTCAGGGAACGGTGCGCGGAGAACGGGAATTGTGACGAAGGGGAGGACGTGGTCAGGCAACGAGGCAAATGTGTCCCAGGAAGGTTGAATGGTCTACGTCAGGGCCAGAGATCGGAGGCAGGAGGCCCAGAGAAAGGAGGAGATGCCTCCCTCCAGCTCGGTGAGGGCCAGCACCTGCCAGCTCAGAGGGGAGCCCTGGTCTATGCCGTTCTGGGCAGTTCTCCTCAGTTGGGAGACCAGAACCCTGGCTCATGGCAGCCTGGCACCGCCTGCTTCCTAAACCACACCTGGAAAGGCTGGGCTTGGAGAATTCTCAGATTCTCTATCAGATCTATTGATGGGAAACATTCTTTAAGTTTGATGTAAAATGTTTCTTTGTGTTTTGACTCCTTCTGTTTTTCTTTAAGGCTCTTGCCCACTTTCTCGAATCCTGACCCTACCACCTTCTGCCCCTGCTCCCCATTCAAGACTCATCCATGGTCCCTCCAATCGTTGGTTTTCCACATTCTGTAGCCTCTTTCCCGCAAATCTGAACCCCACGAGAGCTCACTTTTCTCAGGACAGAGCTTTTGAGGAGGACACATAGCACGCAGTGAAATGCGGAACTGGAGCTACTATGCAGAACTGTAGGGAAACTCATTCTATTCAAGAATAAAGAAGGCAGTATTCAGGTAGCCACGACAGGGTTGGATGTGCTCACCTTTGAGGTCCCTTAAATTATGAGAATATAGGCTTCTTTCTAACCACAGGAACTGTCCAACTATGGAATGGCCACCTGTGAGGTCACACCTCATTCTTGGACGTGAAGCAGTGGGGCCTGCCTGCATGGCCACTATTAGTATTAGGAGGTTTCTTTGTGTTGGGGAGACTGGCTCAAGGGACCAAGTCCACGTCAGAAGCTCTGGGATCGCCTTGGTTGCAATAGTCACATCTATATATCACGCTTAATGCTTGACCTCGTCCATAGGAGCAAAAGATGGATAGCTACCATCCTTAAGGGGCCAGTTGATCCCATTATACAAACCTGAGTTGTGGGAACAGGGCCAGATTCCTGGCTTGGCTGAAAGCCGCATTTAGGCAAGAGATTGGCATCTTGCTGTGATCCTGAGAGGAGGGAAGAGGAAGTGGAGTAGGTGTTGTTCTCCTCCTCTTAGTTTAGCAAGGGAGAATGGAGGTCAGCTTCTCCTACCCCATGGGAAGTCCAGCTCAACTCAGTGCCTCCGTGTAGAGTGGGGTCCCGAGGATGGAAGGGTCAGAGTCCCTCTGTTGTCCCCCACAGCCCCTGTGCCCCAAGGAGCTCTGGCACTTCGTTCACCAGTGCTACGGGAATGAATTGGGCCTTACCAGTGACGATGAGGACTATGTGCCCCCTGATGACGACTTCAACACGATGGGGTGAGCAGGGCAGAGGGCAGCTTGCCGGGGTGCTTCTCCAAGAGGGACTGGGATGGCGGTGACAGCCTCCCTGGGGAGCAGTGTCTAAGTGATCCCTGAAGGAAGGGAGGGTACCTGCGGGGAGAGCCTCGCAGGCAGAGGGAATAGCCAGTGGGTGGCTGGGCGGAATGAACAAAGGGCCAGCAGGAAGAGGTGAGGCCAGGGGCCAGATCCTGAAGGCCTTTTGGCCAGTGCGATGATTGGATTTTACTCAGAGTGGGCTGGGAAGCCCCGGGAAGGCTTTGAGTTGGTAATTGATAAGATCCAACTTAAGGATCTTAACAGGATCACTCTGGCTCATGTGTTGAAAATGGACCAGGAAGGAGGAAGGGCAGGCTAAGAGGCTGTGGAATAATTGAGATCAGTTAGAGGAGAGGTGAAGGTGGTTTGGGCCAGGAGGGTAGCAGTAGAAATGGCAATCAGTGGTTTGTTGCTGAATATATTTTGAAAGTGGAACCAGATCCGTTTTGAAGGATTTGCTGACAGATTGGAAAGGAACCAAAGATGGCTTTAAGGTTTTCTTGGATTTACCAACTGGAAGGCTAGAGCTGTTCCAAACTGAGATGGACAGCACTACAGATCAGACTTCGGGGGAAGATCAGGCAAGTTGGGTTTGAGATAACCCAAATGGAGATGTCACATAGACACTTGTGGATGTGAGTGCGGAGTTCACCGGGGAAGTCTGGGCAAGGTACATAAACCTGGGAATTGTGAATGGATAGCCAGGAGATTAGCTGAAACCACCAAGTGGCTGGATGAACATAAGAAGTTCAAGGACTGGGCCTGGGAGCACTCAACAAGAAGCAGCAGCAAAAGAAATCCTGAAAGAACAGCCAGCCAGGTAGGAGGAACACTAGGAGAGCTTGCATCCTCAAAGCCAAGGGAAGGAAGCTGTAGGAGAAGGAAGCATCACTGTATCCCGTGCTGTTGATGGGTTGAGAAGGATGGGCCCTTGAAGCCATATGAGCATATGCTTGAGGTGGGGAGGTAGGTGGAGGCTCAGTGGTGGTGTGCGAGGCACAGAGCAGTGGAAAGCAAGGAAAGAGTGCTGAATAGTGACACTCAATAGCGTTATCATTTAATCTCTGTGAGTATCTGTTTGATTATCTTTACGAGGCGTGTCATGGGTTACTCAGAGTTGTCATGCATCCACGTGGAGTGATTAGGTAAAGTGTGAGTCAGATGTGGATGACGGGGATGAGTTCTCCCTTGGGAGAGGCGGAAGTGTCCCTAGAAGGGCACCCACCCTTATCTCAGTGTTCCCCTTCAGGTGTCCAAGGCAAAGAAGCTCACTAGTTAGGATCCAGAATCTGGGCGTTATCACCAAAGGGCACTTGTGTGGGGTCCCATCCCCATCACCGTGTGGGACATAAAATGTATGCTCAGAGCCCAGGCTTTTTTGTGAGTGGTGAGGTTGGGATGGAATGGGATGCCACTGGAAGAAAGATAGTTCAAGACGCGTAATGGTCATAGGATAGGGTTAAATCTAAGGAGAGTGCATAGAAAAGGTGACTTTGGAGCCAGAAATGATACGTGAGGAGTGGAGTGCGAGGTGGGGACAAGGTTTCAGGAGAGCAATGTAGCAGGAGGGTGGTGGTTTAGAGGAAGATCATACCCAAAGCAAAGAAGCAAGAAAGCCCATAGTTTGGGATGGATAGACAGATGTGAGGTTCTTAGAATAGTCGGTGGTCTTGGCAACTGAGGTTGACAGGGATTCATGGTGTCTTCTCTCAGCTACTGTGAGGAGATCCCTGTGGAAGAGAATGAAGTGAACGACAGTTCATCCAAAAGCAGCATTGAGACCAAGCCGGATGCCAGTCCACAGCTACCCAAGAAATCCATCACCAACAGCACGCTGACATCCACAGGGAGCAGTGAAGCCCCTGTCTCGGTATGGGCGATATGACCTTGCTTCCACCCCTCATCCGCTGGCCAGTGTTTCCTAGCTGAGTTCATGCCATAGGACCCTGGCCTGGGGAACAGGGAGAAGGGAGGTTGGTTACCCTGTGGTCAGTTTATTCAAGGAGGCATCCTGGAGCCGATGGGCTCTCTGTTCTGATGCTGTAGTCCCAGGATCCAGAGCCAGGTTCTTGGTGCCTTGGATACAAGATTTTATTTGGCTTCTGAGCATTTGAAAACCATTCCAAATTCATTGTGTGATTGCTGCAGATCAGCCCCTCTATGGAGAACTATCCCAGGTCTTTTTTTTTTTTTACGGCCTTGATCTGAGGTCAAAATTGTATGTGACTCTAGGGCTATAGACCTGTTATCTGTTCACTCCTTCAACAATTAGTTTAATTCCTAGTGTATACACTCCCGATTTATTTTTCCACTGTGCTACACCTCACAAAAGAGATAAAAATGTGCTAAGAGAGGCCTTTGTTCTCTGAGACTTGGTTACAGAGGGGATAGGAGCTTGATGAAGGAAGTGTGGGTGTGCACTGGCGGGTAGGAGAATGGGCGGGGTTTCTTAGAAAGGATTCCCAGAGAGGGGAGCCTCGTATTCCAGTGGCTTAAGGGTCAGACCACCTGGCCTTAGAATGAAAACATCATTCATCTGGTGCTTAATCTCCATTTTCCGTCTCTGAGGTTGTCAGATATAAAGGCCTGTATCTATTCCCTTCTAGGGCTAAGGGGAGAATAAATTAAAATATGCTTACAAAGCTTTTGAGCCTCATAGTAGATGAGCCCTAGTGAGAAGCAAGCCGACAGGTAGCATGGGGGAGGTGTGGCTCTAGGAGCGTTGCTGAGACGGGAGGTACTAACTCTGCTCACTGCTGGGCTGGTGCACTATGTAATGGTGAGCAGGACAAGGTCGGAACCTTCTACTGGGTTCTCCCATCTTCCATGGCAGAGCTGGGGAAACCCCTAGAGCATGACTTTCAGCCCAGCTCCAGAGCAGCTGTGTTGTGAACATGAGGGCTCCCAACGCCAGGTTCCTAACCTCCCTTTAGAGAGGAGCCCCGGAGCAGGTTGGCCCTGTTGGGTGACTTCTCTTTCTCTACCCCAGTTCGATGGCCTGCCCCTGGAGGAGGAGGTGCTAGAGGGGGATGGGTCCCTGGAGAAGGAGCTTGCCATTGACAACATCATCGGGGAGAAGATTGAGATCATCGCGCCTGTGACCTCCCCTTCGCTGGACTTCAATGACAATGAGGACATCCCCACTGAGCTCAGTGACTCTTCTGACACCCATGATGAAGGTGGGCATTTGAAAGTGGGTGTGCAGAGTGGTCCTTCCTCTCTCCATTTGAAGGCTAACAGGGTGTCCCTGTATGGAGGCTGGAGTCAAGTCAGTTTCTGGATTTCCGGTGGAAGGGTGGGTTCATTCGTCATTAGCATACAGACATTTTCCGGATAGCCACTGCAGGATCCTTATCGTACCGTATTTGTCTTTCTTTACTTGATGGATCATGCTTTGTCCTGCCATCCAGTCTTGACACTAAATATCCCCCCTGTCGACCTGGGCTTGCCCAGCAGCTCTGTTCCTCATAGAGATGCAAGGCAAGGCAGTGGTTACATGCCACAGGAAAGTGCCAGTCAGCTGCTGCCTGGAAATAATGTGATTTTAATAGAAACCTGCTTTAGTGACCCCAGCGTCGGGCTTTTAGACCAGGCTGCAAGAAAAGGTGCTGCTGGGTGACTCAGACTCTAGAACCTGCCCTTCTCTCTAGTATTTCTAGGTAGTATTTCTTACTTCAGTCCTGCATCAGATCAGCTTCTAAGACCTGGCTCAGGCATGCATTGCCTCTGGCATTTCTGGAGCCGAGAGGAAAATTGTCAGTATTCATGAAATGGGTTGATCCCCACTGACTTGGTGGTAGGCTAGGACTAGTGCGTGTATGTAGACAGTGCTCATTTAAACATCTGCGGACAGTCTCTCCGATGGTCCCCTGGAGTGGTCCCCTCACCTTTGGCTGGTTTCCCTACTTCCATCTAGGACGCAGGGCCAGTGCCAATGATTGCCCCCCAACGGTGCTCACACAGTGCTTATCCTATACGATCAGAGGCACCGGCTCTGTATGATTCTGAGCCGCAGGGGCACCAGGAATGTCAGCATCTTGCTCAAGACCACACGCCAGCTTCTGTAGGTGCAGCAATTTAGGGACTACGGGGTGCCGAGGGCTTGGGAGGAACGCCGGGGCTTCCGCAGCACATTCTGTCGGAGCAGACAGAAACCTGAGAAAAGTGACAGGCATTGAAATCCTGGGGGAGACAGGCTGCCTTATGGAAGAGGAGCCGACCTTGTGTGGTTAGAGAGCGCGGCCCTGCAGTCCAGCCCAGCCTTCGAAGCTTTTCTGTAAACAGGCCATTCCGGATGGATCCACGTCCCTTCAATGCCCTCTGTACTGTGGTTGCGATGCCATGTGTCATCGGTTGTGCTTAACTTACAGACTCTGGGTGACTGATAACTTCTGGGTTCAGGAAGTCACCCTCGATTTAAATTTTAGTCTGAGATCAGCTTCCTTAGGAAGGCTTGAAAAACTAAAAGCAAACAGTACATTCCCATCGTCTTTGTCAAGGAAGGCTGAACAGAAGGCCGGTTCGAGTGAGCCGTGTGTGTGCCGGCAAAGGAGGAGACGGAAGATGCGAGGTCATGAACCTCTACCCACACTGGCCGCCCTTGACCCTTGGTGGCCTGGGGGGGTGGCCCTGGGGCCGCCCGCCCCCCGGCCCTCACTCCCTCCTTCCTCATCCTCTTCCATGCAGGGGAGGTCCAGGCCTTCTACGAGGACCTGAGTGGCCGGCAGTACGTGAACGAGGTCTTCAACTTCAGCGTGGACAAGCTCTACGACCTGCTGTTCACTGACTCGCCCTTCCAGCGGGACTTCATGGAGCAGCGTCGATTCTCCGGTCAGTTCCTCCCGGGCCAAGCTTTGTCCTCTTCTTCCCAAGTTCCCTCCTTCCCCAGGCCACCCGATGGCCCGGGGGCACCCTCTTCCCGCCCCCCACCCCCACGGCCCTGCACGCTACTCCGTCCCCCAGTGCTGCCGCTTTATGCTCGCCCACTGTGCGCCAGGCCCTCGGTGCCAGCCCCGCAGGCTCACTGGCGAGCAAGACCGCCCAGGGCTCACGGTCTCGCAAAGAATCGCCTCATCTCGGGTCACCCTCGGACCTGCCGCATGTGTGAGCATTGCGATCCCCAGGGTACCGATGATGAAACCAGAGCTCCGACTGTTCTCACTTGCCCAGGGCCATGCAGCCAAGCAGGGCGTGGGCCAGGATTCACACCCAGGACCCTGTGCATCCCTGCTTGGCTCCTGTCCCACCCCCTTGCCCCTGTTCTGCCCAGAGCAGGGACTGTGGCTCCGGCCAGGCAGAGCTGCTGGGCACCCGACTCTGTGCAAGAGAATCCGGGTATCAGCCTAGCCCTCAGCCAGGAGGAGAGGGCAGGCGGAGGGCACGCGGAGGCTGTGTCTTAGAGGAGAGGACTTGTTCCCAGGGATCCCAGGCCCTTGCCACAGTGACTCCAGTGTTGCCAGCACCCCCGCAGTGGGCCCCCAGACCTCCTGTCCCGGCCCCGGGAACAGTCAGCATTCTGGAGCCCCGGGTAGAATTCGGCAATGCTACAATGAGCCTCTTTCTGCTTTGACTCCCCCTCCCCCCACCCTCCTCCCGGGGCCCTCGGGCTCCCATTGGCTTCCTGTTGGAGGCCAGGCGTCCATCAGTACAGTCAAGAGTTCACTCGGAGGGGAAGTTCAGAGATGGCACGGCCGTGCCTCTCTCCCTCCCTCATTCCAGGGCTCTTATCCACCCTCAGATATCATCTTCCATCCATGGAAGAAGGAAGAGAATGGAAACCAGAGCCGAGTGATCCTCTACACCATCACCCTTACCAACCCTCTGGCTCCTAAAACTGCCACCGTCAGGGAGACGCAGGTGAGCTGAGCGCAGGGGCACGGAAGGGCAGCGGGAAGAGCCTCCGTCCTGCCGAGAACGATTAAGGGTAGACGCTAGGAAGAAGTTTCTGGGTGCAAGTGTCGTTGGGCCCCAACGCGGGGACACGTACCAGGCTGCCCATTTCCACTGGTTCCCGGTCCTCCGTCCGGGCGTAGGGAGGATGGTGCTTTTCCCGTCTTGCTTCTTTTCAGTTTTGTCCCTTCTCCCCCACAGACCATGTACAAGGCGAGCCAGGAGAGCGAATGTTACGTGATAGACGCCGAGGTCCTCACGCACGATGTGCCCTACCACGACTACTTCTACACTATCAATCGCTACACTCTCACCCGCGTGGCTCGGAACAAGAGTCGACTCAGGTGCAGCGTCTAGAGGGCCTGCGTGGGTTCCCAGGAGGTTCCCGGTGTGCTTGGGTGTCCTCGCTCATGCGGTTGCAGTAAAACGGGGGTTTGGTGAAAGGCTAGAGGGAGACCTCTCGGGAATCGGGACATTCTGAACACCCACATCTCAGAAAGGGCCTGCATCGTTCCTGTCCTCTTCTTTAAGAAAATACATATATAGGGCGCCTGGGTGGCTCAGTTGGTTAAGCGACTGCCTTCGGCTCAGGTCATGATCCTGGAGTCCCGGGATCAAGTCCCGCATCAGGCTCCCTGCTCAGCGGGGAGTCTGCTTCTCCCTCTGACCCTCCCCCCTCTCATGCTCTCTCTCTCTATCTCATTCTCTCTCTCAAATAAATAAAATCTTTAAAAAAAGAAAAAAGAAAGAAAATACATATATATATATTTTTGGTACCTATGCTGCTGAGTATCTATGCCTCCTTCCGTCCTTCCATTTCCCTCAGTCCTCTCTCCTCCCTCCTGCCCCCCCCCATCCTTCCCCACACTGTCTAGACTTCTCACTTCCAGCTTCTTTGGAGAGTTTTCTGAGTAGATGTCCTTTCGTTCCCCAGTTCACCCAGAAGTAGCCTGTTGACCTCAGACAAACCTCTCCAGAAAGGAACACCCACGGCGTTCACCCACCGTGAACACTTGCTGGGTGGCGGTGTGGAGGGTGGTGGTGAGGTGACGCGCAAGCATCAGCTTGCTCACGTCAGGCCGCAGTGTCCCCGAGGACGGCAGGGAGAGGAGGGTAGGCAGCCTTAAGAACGGGAGCATAAGCCGGGCACTGCAGTGGAGGGGAGGAAGGGGCTGGTAAACAGGCAGCACGGGCAGCAGAGAGACCTGTGACTGGGGGAGAGAATACTGGGAAAAAAGTGAGAACTGGCGAGGTCTCGTGGGGTGGAGAGGCAGGAGCCCCGGCTGGGGGCAGATCACTCCCCTAAAAGTGGCAATGACGGAACCCTAGAGCCTGATCTGGACTTGCAAGTCTCTGCAGAAGAGAAGGACCCCCATGGCCGGCTGGCTGCCTGGCACCATCTGGAGGAGGCGGCATGGCCTCATGAAAGAACTATGGGCCCGGAGTCAGGAGCCCTGTGTGGTAGCCTTTGGTCTGCTGGACTATTCTAGAACTCCTGTTTTCTCACCTACAAAATGAGGATCAGTCCGCCGGTCCCACTGACCTCCAGAAGTGGCCAGGGAGATCAGATGGCACAGTGGGTGTGGTGTGAAGGGCCTTTCCCAGCAGACGAGGGTCTGCCCCGGAAATGGCTGATCTCGTTTCTGGCTTGCTCCTCAGGGTCTCCACAGAGCTGCGCTACCGCAAACAGCCATGGGGGTTGGTGAAAACTTTCATCGAGAAGAACTTCTGGAGTGGGCTGGAGGACTACTTCCGCCACCTAGGTGAGCAAGGCCGCAGACCCCGGCTTGGCCGCAAAGCTGCCACCATTCAGGGGAGTGGGAAGCACAGAAATGGGGGCCACACCGAGATGGTGAAGGGGTGTCATGAGGGCCCTGAGGTGGCCCCAGAAATGGATACAGAATTTGGCAGGTCTGTGAACACGTGCGTTTTCCAAGAGGCTATGCCTGTAACTTTCATGGGGTCTGTGGCCACCCCCCACCCCCACCCCCGGCGCATGACCTCCACATTTCATCACACCGGTGGTAATTCAGTTTCAGAAAGGAAGGATGAGCCTGTGAATGCGTCCATTAGGACCTGTGACGTGCCCCCAACTGTCTACATGAGGGTAGGGAACCTATGTCTCTGCACGATGCTGAGCAAAACCCAGAAGGGGGGTTTGGGTGAGGCCGCATCCCAGTGGTACTTCCTGAGGCTTGTGGCCGCCCCTGAGGGACCCTTGCCCTCCCAGTCAACGTCCCAGAGTTCAGTGCGGGAAAATGGTTCTCTCAGAGGGGGCTCAGCTAGGAGACAGAGTTGTTTCTGGGGGCCAGTGTGTGGAGCTGGAGGTACAGGCAGGTGGCCTTTTGTCTCTGACAGAGAGCGAGCTGACCAAAACGGAGAGCACCTACCTGGCTGAGATCCACAGACAGTCTCCCAAAGAGAAGACCAGCAAGGCCCCGACGGTACGGAGGAGGAAACGTCCCCATGCCCACCTGCGGGTGCCTCACCTGGAAGAGGTGATGAGCCCCGTCACCACACCCACTGATGAAGATGTGGGCCACAGGATCAAACATGTGGCAGGTGCGTGCCGGCTGGCCGTGGGGACGGGGCTCGGGGCTCGAGCTGCATGCCCATGCCAACCCACGTGTGCGCTCATTTTGCGTCCTTGGGTATAGATCGTACATAATTTGCCCTTAACTCATTATTCAGCCTCCGGATCCTCTGCCTGTTTCCTTTTGCCCTTTATGTTCCTCAGTCACTGCTGAACCCACATTTGGGGTCTGCTGAACAGAAGTTCCCTGAACTCCATGTGCGCCTTGATAGACTCAAACGAGCAGCTTCCAAGTTTTTGGCAAATGCACCAGGGAGAAGCCATAGCTCAGGCCAGAGATGCCCTCCTGACACAAACATCAGGGAGTCCGAGCTCATGTGGTCCCCACAGGCCCATCAGGGACCTGCCCTCCCAGGCGGTGGACTCCCTTGACATGTCTCCCTCTTCCCATCCAGCCACACAACCTCATGTCTTCGCTCAGTCATGGCAACCTATAGCCGTAAGAAGCCTCAGAGATGACTAATCCAGCGTCTTTCAGGCTATGCTTTGCACACCCCTGGGCGTTCCTCAGGATGGGGACAGGAGAGGAGGAGAGTGCCAGCCTTCCGTGCCCGCCCCCCCACCTCCCCGCCCCACCCCCAGCTTCAACCAGAGCACTCCCTTACATCCCTCACGTAGAGGATTTCTGACTAGCATGGCATATGTGAATACGCTGACTCTCTGAGAGCAGTTGAGACTTGCTCAACGTCACATCACTGGTTACAAACAAAGCCCGAGCTGAAAGCGGTCTCTGGTCCCAGCCAGTGCACTTGTCATGGCTAAGCTGCAGAGCGCTTTGTCCCCCCTCCACATGTCGTAGCTCCGTAAGGCTGTTGAGTTTCTTGTTTGTTCGGTGACTTGAATGTCCACTTCGCCTGACCCAGCCCCTGACCTTGCCCGTGAGGGGCTTCCCTTGTACTTTCGGAGGGCTGGATGTATCCGTCATTCCGGTGCCCCTGTCACGGCAGCCAGGGGACTCGTGAGCCACCGTGGTGATGGCCTCTTTATTCTCCCTACAGGGTCCACGCAGACGCGGCATATCCCCGAGGACACCCCTAATGGTTTCCACCTGCAGAGTGTGTCCAAGCTGCTGCTGGTTATCAGCTGTGTGTAAGGGATCCCAGCTCTCCTCCCCGCCCCTGCCCCAGCACCTTCCCTCCCCGCCTGCTGGCTCCTCAGGCGTATGAGCACCCCTTACTGTGGCCCTTCTTTGTCCTCTAGCCTTCTCTTCAGATCACTTGCTCTGTCCATCATTCCTGGCCTCTTTGTTTATTTTTCTCTGTTTGATTTGGCATTTGCTGTCAGCTAGGCCTTCAGGATTGACAACAGAGCGCTGTATACAGCATCCATGCCCTTAGGAGCTCAGTTTCAAGTGGGTAAGACAGGAAATTCAGAATTACTACACCGTTGCAAAAATGCTAACATAGAGACGCCACACAGCGTCTTAGAAGCCCATTCATTCACTTGTGAGGGAGGTCCTGAGTATCTGCTCTGAGCCGGGCGCCAGGATCGGGCACTCCTGGGCCCACACTTTGGCAGGATAGCCAGACAAAATCAATGACCACCGTCCAGAAATATGTTTATATTAATGTAAATAATTTACAATATTGCCATCATGTTATAAAGCAGTAGGCTCAGTAACGTTCCCAGGAGGATGCTGGGCAGGGAGAGAGGAAGGGGGGAAGAAATGCACAGGCAGGGTGGGAGGGCACAGCTGTCCGCAGTGGAAGCCCAGAGCCCTCCAGGGACGCCCCTGAACCACTGGGAGCAGGGAGTTCCTGGGACAGCTGAGCGTGGACAGCTCTTCTGCTTGGTTCAGCCTGCTGCCGGGTACACCCCCCCACCTTACCTGGAGGTGGGGGTGAGCATGTGGGGGGACAGGTTGGGGGAATGGCACGGGAGCTGCCCAGACGCGGGCCCTGACAGCTCTGCACCGGGCACTAGCCTGTCTCTGGCTCTTTCTTCTGTGACACCCCCTCCCCACTCCTTCAGGCCCCCACTAATGCATTTTCAGAGAGGCAGAAGCAGAGGCACAGCCAAGCCCATCAGGAAGCCCTGAAGGAGCCCTGGGGTGTGACAGGATTGGCTTTACGTGGTGGTGCTGGTGGTGGTGGTTGTTGTTGCTGTTGTTGTTAAGTCACTCTGACAACCATGAGGGGAGGCCTAGAGAAGAAAGGGCTGGAGGCAGGCAATCTGGTCCGAGTAAGTGGCAGCGATGTAGGTGAGCGTGACTGTCCAGCAGGGGAGGGACCGAAGACCTGTTAGCCATCTGGTTGGGTAGCCGAAGAAGAGGAAGGACTGTGGTGGGCGCCCGTGAACGGTTGTGTCGTTACCAGAAACCGGAACGAGGCGCAGAGCTGTCCGAGAAGACGCTCTGGGCTCCAGCTGTGTCTTGAGTGGCCGTAGGGCATCCAGGTGGAGGTGACCGGTACTTGCCAATGCGGACCCGGAGCGAGGCAGGGAAGCATAGCTTGTCGATGCTGATTTAGTTAGTGGGAGCATGAGAGCCACGGGCGAGAATGAGACCATCCCAGGACAGCGCCGAACGTGAGAGAGGAAACGGGGCCACAGGCGAGGTGTGGGCACCACTGAAAGCAGGGGGGCCCGTGAGGAACATGAGGCAGGCTCTCTTCTGCCCTGACTGCGTGTATAACAAAAAGGGAGGTGGAGAATTCTTCCGCCTGTGGCCTGAGGAGCCAAGGTCTTTTTTACAAAGTCATATACAAAGACAGCTGTGAAACCAGGAAGGTTTCCGTTTAGCAACCTCCATTTGAGGGGATTCATGCTGTTCTGTTAAGTCTCTGGTGTTGGGTTTGGTAGATAGAAAACTTGAAACTCAGGTAAGTTCTCTGTTTGAGCCTTCTCTGCATGCTGACTTTAGTTAAGTAGGCCTGCTCTCCCGAGTAAATGGCATAGCATGGCATTAGCTGATGTGGGGGCTTTGTTGGGTTAAGATCATGGGCTTCATCTTCAACACTTAGAGGGTCCGGGCGGCGGGTCTGCTGACCGCGTGCGTGTGGATCGGACCGCCCTGCGTCTGGCAGGCCCCCTCTGTTCGCTGTGTGGACCACAGGCCCTTCCCTCGGCTCGCAGGGGTGTCCCTGGACCTCCACTGAGCACAGGCAGGATTTTACACATAGACCCAAATGCAGGAGCTCAGATGTATGCAGCCCACGCTGAAGAGGTGGACATTCAGGTCCTCTGGCGCGTGTGGATGCAGTTAAAGGTGGGGTCATTGAACATCAATGTGAAATTTAGAGATTGTTCTGGAGAAGTCACAGAGCCCTGAGAGCACAGCTGGATAGGGTCAAGGACTGGCAGCTGCCAGCTTCGGGAGTACCACCTTCCCTGGTACTGGAAGCACAGAGAAGAACACAGTATCTCACAAGCGCGCAAGCGCGCACTTTGAAAGGTCAGAGGCACAGCATAAGATGTTCTTCGTTGGTCCTTTTCCATGGTTCATTCTGTCTCCCTTTTCCTGTGTGTGTCCCTACGTGTCCCTGTACCCCCTCCTTCATGATAAAACCGCCTGTCATTGGGGGGCTCCTGTGTGCAGGGAGCTTTCCATCCACTTCTTCACACCACACACATCGCAGCCCCAGCAGGGTAGGAACCGTCCCTGTTAAGAAGAGGGTTCAGAGAAGCTGGGGAACTTCAGCAGAAGTTAAGAACCCTGAAGCAGTGAGCCAGGACTGTACCCAGTCCCGTGCGTCTCGAGATCCCCTTGCTCCCCTGGTCTTCATCTCTCTGCTCCATGAACTTGTGTCCTAAGATGATCTTCTGGCAGCCACTGAGGCCAAGAGAAGGGAATGTCCCTTTTGTCTTGGCAGCTCTCTGTACCCCTGGGTCCTCCTTACCCTCTCCCTGGCTCTGACCAGTGCTGGTCCAGACCAGGGACCCTCGTGACCCCTGAGGGTCTGGGCAGGTGCAAGGCAGGTGCAAGGATGAGACCGTGCTTTAGGGCATCCTGCTAACACCTGTCAGGCGGGTCAGGCCGATAGCCCACAGCTTTGCCCTTCTGTCGTGCCTTAGGTTGGCTGGGTAGGAGGACTTGCCTCCAGGTGTCACCCTTGACATACTAAGATCTGTCTGCAGCCTCTGTCTCTTGCTCCTTGCTTGCTGGGTCTCCTTGTCCACTTGTCCTCGCTTCCTGTGTTTCTTTCCCGCAGACTCACTTGTTCTCTGGCTTGGTTCCAGTGCAGCCCTCCCCATCCCCGCACTGGTCTCTTCTAACCTCTGCCTCCTCCCCATTTTTCCTCCTCGCTCCCATTAGGATCTGTTTCAGGTACTGGCTCTCTGATTGCTTCACTTACCCTTCATCTCTTTCCCTCTCCATCTTACCTCTTCCCCCAAGCACCCAGGGTCTGGGTGGCTCCTGTGTGTCTCTCTTTCCCAGTGCCTTCACCCACACGCCTCTCAGTGGTGCTCCTGCTGTGTCCTGGCCCTTCCAGATGAAAGCGCCCGCTCACTCTCCCTCTCCCTCTCCCCCCAGCTGCATCCTTCCTCCTCCCTCCCTCACCGCCATGCTTCAGGGGACCAATGGTCAAGGACAGCAGCTGCCTCTGGGAGGGTGGGGGGTGATCCCTGGCTCTTAGAGGGAGTGTGCCTTCTCAAGATTACATCTCATGCCTGTTGCTTTTGTCCCCCTTTGTCTCCTTCCCAGTCTGGTGCTGCTGGTCATCCTTAACATGATGCTCTTCTACAAACTCTGGATGTTGGAATACACCACCCAGACCCTCACTGCCTGGCAGGGTCTGAGGCTCCAAGAAAGGTAATCCTTGCCTCTTCCCTTGGCCACCACCTCCACCCCCCCCGGAACCGTGCCCCAGCTCCTGCCACCCAGTCTCCGTGGGACGGCCCCGCTGCCCTTGGCCAGTGGGTGACCCTTTGGGATGAGCCCATAGGCAAGCTCTGAAAACTGTCCCTATAGCTTTAGTCTGCTTCTGACCTGGGGCACAGGGGAACCGGGGGCACTGAGCAGAGGACAAAGCAGTCTGATGTGACTCTCTGTCCTTCAGGGGTCTGGGAGCACAGGACAGTCCAGTGAGCATAACTCCAGCTGCCGGGATACCCCTTCTTCTGCCCCACAGGTTACCCCAGTCTCAGACAGAATGGGCCCAGCTCTTGGAGTCCCAACAAAAGTACCACGATACAGAGCTCCAAAAATGGAGGGAGATCATCAAATCCTCAGTGATGCTTCTTGACCAGGTGAGATGTCCCCACCTTCTCTCCTTGCCCTCATCTTCTGGAGATGAGCTCCTTCCCTGTGCTCTGGGAGAGATCTCCCCATCCCCATCCCCATCACCACCCACCGGACCTCAGCCTCCCATTCATTCTTCCCCTGGGCCATCCACTGTTCTGATTTTAAAGTCATCCTGGAATGGGTTGTTGGAAACACAGGTGTACTCCCCCAGACAATAACAGTGGAAATTGGTGGCAAGAAAGCTGTAGGTTAGATGGAAAGACTGATTTTTTTTCCCTGCCTTGGTCACTCATGGCCATCTGACAAGCATTTAAAGAGAGAACCTCCTTTCACAGAGATTTATCTTTCCCGAGGGCATATTTTTCTAGTTCCTTTTGCTGTATGCCACCGCCTCCCCCTGACCTCAACACACACACAAACCAACACACAACCCCCCCAACACGTCCTTCTTCCTCAGAGGCTGCACGGATAGTCTGGGAAGATGGTGGTTATACTGGGTCATCTTTTCGTAACATCTTCTAGTACAAGGGCCTGTGTTCCTTCCAAAAACTACATTCATTCATCTATTTAAGAAAATGATCCTGGAGCAAAATCAGTGAGTTGAGTTTTATCAAAGGAGGGAGGAGCTTCGCTTTCTCCACCCAGAAGTTAACGTCTTATACAAAACTCCCACGTGGTTGCCAAGACAGCAAGAAGCTACCTTTGCTCTGCAAGAGAATTAAGAAGCGAGGAGGCAAAGGATTTGTCCTGTTCCATTAAAATTTCCTGTTCCTAAGGAGTTCTTTATGTTGCGTGGTCAGCCAGACTTGAGATGGAGTCCCAGTCTTGCCAAGGACTAGTTTTGTGACCTTGAGCAAGGGATTTAATATGAGTGACTTCACAGTTTTTTCATTTATAAAATAATTGTAACTTCACGAAATTGCTGTCAGGATTTGAGGGCACAGGGGAGGCATTCGTTAATACGAAATCTTATTTCCCCTTCGTAGCATGGTCTTAGCTCTAAATTGAGGAGAGAGGATTTTAATGTGGCTGTCAGGATCCAGTTGAATGTGTTTTAGAGTATCATGTTTAGCTTTAGAGCCATGGATTTGGGTTTTTTTTATTTTATTTTTTTTAAGATTTTATTTATTTGAGACAGAGAGAATGAGAGAGAGAGCACTTGAGAGGGGGGAGGGTCAGAGGGAGAAGCAGGCTCCCCGCCGAGCAGGGAGCCCGATGCGGGACTCGATCCAGGGACTCCAGGATCATGACCTGAGCCGAAAGCAGTCGCTTAACCAACTGAGCCACCCAGGCGCCCCTGTTTTTTTTTTTTTTAAACAAAAGGAGTAAATGGCCCAGCAGGGGGCTTAGGAGCCCTGCGATATCAAGAAGAGTTGATAGAATTAAAGATACAGTAAGGAGAAAGAAAGATGGGGGCGAGGAAAACAGGGTAGTCTTCAGACATAGAGGTCCAACAGGTAGAAGGATAGATAGATTGCTCGTGAGACCCCAGGGGCTAGAAGTTACAGGGAACGGGGGAGCTTTGATGAGTCATCAAATAAAAACAGACCACTGACAATCAAGCTATCCAGTAGTGGAATGGGCTACTTTGAAGGCCTGAGATTGTATCACCAAAAGTGCCCAAGGGGTGACCAGATGATGTCAGATAAGAAACTTATGAATTAAGTAGGAGGCAGTTGGACTGGATGACCCGGTTCTCTTCCAACTCCAGAATTCGGTGTCAAGATGGGGTCCCTTACATTGGAGCGCGGGGCGGTCAGAATTATAGCGTGGTGGACTCAACTCTGTAAGCATTAGGATAGGTGTGGATAGGTGTTTTGTTTCATTCCCTTTATTTTTTTTTAAAGATTTTTTATTTGTTTATTAGAGAGAGAGAATGCACAAGCAGGGGGAGCAGGAGAGGGAGAAGCAGACTCCCCGCTGAGCAGGGAGCCTGATGCGGGGCTCGATCCCAGGACCCTGGGATCATGACCTGAGCCGAAGGCAGACGCCTAACCGACTGAGCCACCCAGGAGCCCCAAGAGAGAGAATTCTTAATCCTTAATCATGAAGACACAGTGAACCTCCCCCCAGGGGTTCCCAGTACTAACTTGGCTCTTCCGTTTCTGCCGGAGACCGCGTCCTAGGAGAACCCTTGTCTTAGGAGCCCGGCTTCCTTGAACTCACTGGCGTGCTGGGGGAGCTGCCCTGGGTGGGCAAGGCGGAGCATCGCACTGAGGGCACAAACCCGGGACTGGGCGGGCTTCCCTGTCTTACAGATGAAGGACTCTCTCATCAACCTTCAGAATGGCATCAGGTCCCGCGACTACACTTCAGAAAGTGAAGAGAAGAGGAGTCGTTATCACTGACAAGGCAGGAACGGGGTGGTTACGAGAGGCCCGTGCAATACGTGTACATAGACCATATACATAGATATATATAAATATATATATATACAGAATATAAATATATATATATTATATACAGATTTTAAAAAGAGATAATGCCTATGTACCAGGGAGAAGGAGCGGGCCCACCTCCTATGCTGGCCGGCGGAGGGGCCGAGGAGGGCAGGGACCACCTCTCAGCACCAACCTCCCCTGATCCTCCTCCTCCCCCCTACCCCCCCCTTGTCCCCACCCTTCCCCTCGCTGGCCGTTCCTGGCTCTGAGAAGGGAAATGTTGAGCCAAAGTGACGCCTGTGAAGACCCTGGGGTCTCGAAGTCTCGAGGGGCTTAAGGTGCTTCATTCCCGAATCCCCTCTTGATTTGTTTCCAAAATAAAAGAGAATCTTTTCTTCCCTACCCCACGCTTCCCCAGGTATTCTCTTGTGAACAGGAAGCATCAAGGGCAAGAGCCCAATCTAAACTCTGCCACCTGAGCCCCACCCAACCCCCCAACCCCCTGCTTTCTATGGACCACGAGCCCCCAGTCAGGCGGAGGGCTGGAAGGCTGGGAAGGCTGCCCCTGTGGGATTGGGCCTTGAGCCGCAGGCTCCCGAGGACGTGCATGTGGAGTGGGGTTCTCCTCCATCACCCCTGCACCTTCCCCTAACTCCTGTAGGGTGTGGACCCAATAAGGGCTGGGAATTTCTTACTTTCCCACCACCCCCCGTCCTTCTCTCTGGTCTTCTCCCAGGCTGGATCTGGGTGAAGTGTCACTTTTTAGTGCCTAAAGCCCTATTTTTTCTCTGTGCCCTAAGAGCACATTGTTTATTAGCCAGGATGGAGCATTTTGGATCTTGTTAAACCCCTTTTTAAGTGGTTATGAGCCAGTCGGGCCTGTGGCTCTAATTCCTTCACTTTGAGCTGTCAGTTTGATTTCTGGGACTAATCAGGATGTCCTAGGGACATCTGGGGTTGGGGGGAGTGAGTGCCCTAGCATTGTATGGATCAGATCATAGGTTCACACAGAACGTGGTGTGAGTAGTGAGTACCGATATCCAAGCACTCACTTGGCTGCCAGCATCGTTTACTCTAAGGGAAGAACTGACTTTGGTGAGGGAGACAATGAAGACACTCGGCACATGGTAGAAGACCTAGGCTTTTGGAAGGAATGCATTTGGCAAGGTGCATTGCATTTGTGCAGGAAAAGGCCAGAGTAAGTCTCTGCCTCACGTGGAGGCCATTCCAAATCCTGTTCCTCAGACTTGGGAGTGGGAGTTCTGGCAAAGGGGGCAAAGCCTCCTCTAGCCTCTGGCCCCAGAGAGGTAGGAGACCACTAAGGAGGAGAAGGAAGACCTTTGGTTAGGAAAGTGAGTCATCCAGGACCATTTTGGAGTTGGCTCACTAGGACCCGTGCATTTTATCTGACCTCACAGGGCCCTTCTGGGCCCGATTACCATTTTTCATTCACTTAACTGCTATTCCTCCATCTAATGATCAGAGGAATCCTGCCAGCCTCACAGATCCTCAGTAGGGAAAGGATCATACATACTAGTTTGGCCAGGAAAACTCTTCCAGATTGCTTGTTCTCCTAGGGGACCTCTTGTAAGGGGCTGAAGGAAAGGAAGGTTTTATCGCTGACCTAGCCTCAAAGAAAAGCAAGTCATGTTCTTCTGTTGGAATGGCCTGAGCATCCCCCTTTGGCAATTAAAGACACGTTTTTGACTTCTCAGTCTGAGAATACAACCTCATTATTAACCTAAGGGCAGGATGAGAAGACAAAGGATACATGCCGTAGGGGAGTAGGCTGAGAAGCCTCCATGGAATCAGCTAGAATGGGTATCCCTTCCCTAGGAAAGGAGATGCGAGGGCTGGAGTTGACTGTGATCCCGGTGCAGGGTGCATATGCCCACAGGTTAGTGGGTCACTACTCATTCTTGTCCAGGACTTTGACTAGGAGACACTCTGGTGATGGTCAGGACTCGTGGGCCTCGGGCCAAAGAAAGAGGAACAGTACAGACTGCTAGAAATTTTCCTGCTGTAGGAGCCAGAAGCCAAAATTATTCTCAGAAACTTTTGAAAGCAAAAGTGATAAGTTCTCTCATTTATTCCATACATAATTAAATATTTATTTAAATCATCCAGTTGTTGATGGTCCCACGGTGGGACCTTTGGGGAGACTTCCAACGGGTTCTCTGCGGGGAGTAAAGTGATATGAGTGGGCTTGGCTGCACAGAGCTGTTCTGCTTTTGCTTTAAAACCTCTTCAGCCATTCCAGGGAGGAGTAGGTGACAGGGAGGGAGGTGCTTAGTATGTCCGAGGAACCCTGGGGGTTTGAACTCCAGAGACAGTGCATACACACCTCAGCCTGCCTCATTCCTAAGAATCATGGATCTCTTGTGGCACTTTCTGTTCGAGTAATATTTTAAGCTTTCAAAGCAGAAGGCCCAACACCTCTATTCACTCCCAAACAAAAGCTTCCCCCGCCCACCCCGCATTCAATAGCCTGTCAAAGGCTAACTCACCCTTGCAGATAAGTCTGGGAGTGAAACTGATAAATAACATTGAAACTGAAGCCCAGCAGCTTCGCTTGTAGCTGTTCCTGGGAGCATCAGAACCATACCCTTTCTTTCTTTCAGCCTGTTTTTGTTCGTGTAAGGACTCTGGTCACGTGGGAATCTTTCTGCAAGGATTCCTGGGGTCACATTTGAGAGCTTGCACACTCTGGCACCTGGGGGCCCTAGGGAGGAAGGGCTGGCTTTGGCTGCCCTGCAGAGTTCTAACCAGGTGGAGAAGAGCTAGAGGGTCTATACTTCCACTCCACCTTCCTGAAAGGAATTAACAAAATTGGCCTTGGAGGACCCACTCATGTCTGCAACTCCTCTCCTCCCCATTCACCTCCCTGGGACAAGGGCAGCAAGATCAGCAACTTTTGAAGCTCTCAGTTAGAGCACTGGGCTGAGTTAGGAGACCTGGGCCTGAGTCCTGGCTCTGCTTTTGGACAAGTCACTTCCCCTCCCTGAACTGCAGTATCCTCATTTGTAAGGCAAGCTCCCAGGAAGGGGGATGAGCTGGACCATCTGTAAGATAGGTTTCAGCACGGGCATTGTCTTGGGTCAGAGACTGGCAAGGTAGGGCTTTCTCAAACTTGGAAGGTACTCTGCCAGAAGAGAAGAAGCCTTCTGGGCTAGAGCTTCTCTGGTGTTGCGATGAGTAGTGGGGCAGCATCAGGGTTCCTGGGAAATCCAGGATAGTTACACTTTCTTCTTTATGAGCCAGCAGGATAGGGAGGCCTAGTAAGTAGGGAGAGGGAGATCAGGCATGTTGTATTTCCCAGTATTAACCTAGGAGGGGGTTTCTTCCTTTGTTGGCCTAGTCTTAGTTTGGGAAGGGACTTTCTCTAAGCCAGGAGGAGGATAATGGCAAGAAGGGCACCGTCTTGGATTAAGCTCATCTTTTGTCTCTAGGCTATGAAGCCTTTCATCTGTCCATCCTCCCTCCTCCTTGCTAGAAGAGACACTGGAGAGAAGTCATTGCAGGCCCTAGCGCTTCTCTTTTGACTCAGTTCAAACCTTGTTGGGGTTTGGATTGTGAAGCTTTGGCTAAAATCCTTGGGTTGCCTTAGAGCACTGACCCTAAGAACCTGGGATTATGGGAAGGGGGAGAGGGATCAAGAAACCTCAAGAAGAATGCTTTGCTAGAAGTGGCTTCTTTCCGTGTCCCTGTCCCTGATCCAAGCTTGGACCATGTCTAAAATCATTTGTGGGCAGCATCTCTAGGGTGAAATCTTGGAGAAAGGACCAGGCGGAGAATCTTTCTGGACTTTTTGTGGTCTCAGAGGATGCTTTCTGTGCCATACTATGCTACTGCTTTAGCTCTGCAGGGCAGCCAAAGCCAGCCCTTCCTCCCTAGGGCCCCCAGGTGTCAGGGCTGTGACCTCCCTCCCCACACCCCTGAACCCCACCTGCCCACTCCAGTAGGAAACTCGAGAACCTGTCTTCCTGACTCTCTCCTCCCTCACCCCTTGTCTCTAGGCTGTGGGACAATCATCCCATCCACCACTTGACATCCTTGACCCTCATCCCCCAACCTCCAGCAGGCTGGCCCCACTCCCTCCACCTCTATGTTTTCTTCCAGAAGATGCGTTTTGGGTCCGAGTGGAGCATTTTTCTGGAAGGCCGTCTCTTTAACGCCCCTGCTTCCCTGATGTGGAGCAGGAATTTGCACAAGGTGTAGAGAGCGCCCCTTCCCATCTCTCTGCCCAGCCTCGTTACCTCACTCGTGCTCCAGCCATGGCTGTGACGGGCCCAGCCAGCTCCCTGTCTTGGTGTTCTGTGCGACAGCTCAGGGGTCTTGGGCATTGTTTTCTGTTGTGACTTGAGGTCCTCAGCAGGCCTGGGAGCCTGGATTGGAGCCTTGGCTGCTGGCGAGAAGCACCTTGCCTGCCAAGAGGAGCCGATGCCAGACGATCTGCCCGACATGTGAAAGCATAAAGAATACCGTCATCTCTGCCCCCTTGGCCTCCTTGCTTCTCTCAACACAGTGAGATGCTGCAGAAGCAAAATGGTGGCCTCTGCCCTGCGAGAGACAGCTGGCTCTGTCTGGGGAGCTGGCCCTGGGCTCGGATGCCACGTGCTGAGATTGCGTAGCAAAAGCAGCCGTTTTTGCCAACGGTAGTGTGGCTCCCCACATTTCCCTGTCCTGCACTCTAGGGCCAGACCACTCTCTGCATGGACCAGATCATCTTCCCAAACCCATGGTGCTTCCCCCCCCGCCCCCACACTCAACCTAGACTCCAAGATGGGGAGAGATGGGTCAGAGGCCCCAGTGGCCCCTGGATGATCCTGACAAGGGGTGGAGTGGGGTCGGGCAGAGGGAGCAGTCCCCAACACCTGCACTGGGCCATATATGGGAAAGAACACGGGTTGATTGCAATCGAGTTGTCTGGCCATCTGTATTTGGATCTAGAACTGTACTTTGCCTGGCGCTGTGCGCAAGGTCTGAAAACTTAACTGCTATTACCTAGAACCGTACACAGCTTCCCAGCCAAATCTTAATGTAAAGTAGCTAGAGCCATGGAAGTACAGTATGAATTAAACGAAAAAAGTATTGAACTACAAATAATAAATGGTGTGTGTGCTTATTGCTCAGTTCATTAGTGCTCATCGTCCCAAATGTTTTTGGTCCTCCCAGATGTGATGAGGGCAAGGCCCAAAGGAGGGGGGGGGGGGGCGGGCATACCCATACACATATGCCCAGCCATCTGCCCGACATCTAGGATGCCCTTTCCTAGGAAGGCAGGCCGCCTGATAGAGTCAGATGGATAAGAAGTTTTAGAATCAGACCAGAGTACGGATTGCAGCATCACTATTTATCAGCTTTGTGACCTTGGTCCCCATCCATTATTCCAAGCCTCAGTTTTTTAGAGATATACGAAATGTGTGTGTGTGTTTCTTCATATAGTGGCTGCTACTCTACTAAGATAATTTTTATTTCATTATTAACCAGTACTTTTTAAAAGATTTATCAGAGAGAGAGCAGGAGGGGCAGAGGGAGAGGGAGAGAATCTCAAGCAGACTGCACGCTGAGCATGGAGCCCAGTGTGGGGCTCAATCTCACAACCTTGAGATCACGACCAGAGCCAAAACCAAGAGTCGGGTGCTCAACCGGCTGCACCACCTAGGAACTCCAAGCAGTACTATTATTAAAGAAGCATATTATCATATGCTATGAATCCCAATGACAGTGTCCTACTTAACTTTTCCCTTTTGTGCCTTGGCACTTCAGGAAGATGGACATTGAGAGACAGCTTTGCCTTATTTCCTTGTTAGCCTGGACTGGTCGGGGAATCTGGCCCCCTTCCCTCATTAGGTCTTTCTTGGAGTTATCCCCTCACCACGTGATGGGAAACTTACGTGGTGTCAGGCGGGAGGGAGGACTGGCGACTCTTGTGTTCCTTTGATTTGGGGAGGGAAGGAGGAGAAGAAGGAAGGCTACATCACACATTTGTATTGTTTAATTCTAGACTATTAAATGCATTTTTTTAAAAGATTTTATTTGAGAGAGAGAGAATGAGAGACAGCATGAGAGGGAGGAGGGTCAGAGGGAGAAGCAGACTCCCCGCCGAGCAGGGAGCCTGATGCGGGACTCGATCCCGGGACTCCAGGATCATGACCTGAGCCGAAGGCAGTCGCTTAACCAACTGAGCCACCCAGGCGCCCATTAAATGCATTTTTTGTTCTCCAGGAAAATACCCACTGATGGTGAGTTCAGGAGTTGATGCAGGCTGGGGAGGGAGGTAGAAGCCATAGTATGCGTATCAGATACACATAGTAGAGCAAAACCAGACAGAGCAAGCCGCGTTTAGAGACACTTTATTGACAGGAACAGGGTATTTCCTGAAAAACACTACATACTGGCATTAAGTTGTGGAGCTCGTGGGTGATCAGGAACAACATTTCTAGAGTTCAGAAAAAGATTGGCTATGGAAAATTAAGAAAAGGCAATATGAAGGTGATGATGTGGCAAAGAGATGCATCAGTTACAAGACCACAAGAGTTTGCTAATTGTGTTTGATGGTGTTCCCCAAATCTACAAGCACTCGGGCTTCTGCAGACCCCCTCCCCATCACACAAACTGCCATCAGATGTAGCTCTTGCCGGATGGTGATTCAGGGGGGAAAAGGGGTATTACCAGCTTTGAGGCTTAGCTGGCCTAGGCTACGGGTGAAGTCTGATCTACCACAACTCAGACGTGCTTCATGTGCTTATCTACTGGGTCCTACAATAAACTCAAGTAAGATAGCTCGACATGAGTTATCTACCACGGTGGACTTTAAGAGATTAGGAAGAACTTGGCTGATGGTATTTTTCAGACCTAAGGCCACGGGGCACACAGAGGCTCCAGATTGGTGCTTGAGACAGAGTGCGTGCAGAAACGCAGAATGGATGGATGATCGGAGGGTGAACACACCGGTACCACTCAGATACACTCACAGGAAGTAGGTGAATTCACTGGGTTGGGGAATCTTCCATGTACAAAAGGAGGGGAGAGGAAGGCTTTTTTGTTTGTTGTATTTTTCCATTTCTATGTTAACTGGGGAAAGGGGAACCAAGATCTGAAATGTGTCTGGCTCTTGCATCTTCCTGCAGAGATGCCAATTACACAGCCTCTGTCCTCTGATGTCAGGTAGGTTCACAGATCCTGGGTTGGGTGTACTTTCCTTTTTGATCTAGTAGTTTTGTCGGGAGCTACCACTGTCTCTTAACCATTCTCTGCTGCACACGTTTCTCCAGCATGTTCCTGCTTTGAAAAATTCCTTTCCTACTAACCTGTCTAGTTGGGCATCGAAAGAGAAAGCAGAAACTCAGAGAATCAGAAATCTGGATGTGTGGATGTTGGGGGATGGAGGAAGTAAAGGATAATGCTTTTAAACAGATTGAAAGTAAAGGTTGGGGTAGGGACAGGCCCCGACTGTCAGAATATTAACGTGCAGGAGTTGGGGCTGTGCTCTAAGACTGAACTGACAGTAAAGGTCAGTAGGGCAGGGTGTCTCCAGTACCAACTGAGTTGAGCAATCAAGTTCTTGGCTGTTACAGCAGTAGGAAAGCAAAAATCAGACCCAGCCTGGCCTGGCCTTCAGTGAATTGTGTTATGGAGGGATCAGTCATGGGAAATACCCAGCACCAAGACAACAGATGGGGTTCCTAAAGTAGTAATAGCCCTTGAGAACATTTCTAAGCCCTTTCATAAGTGCAACATGCCAGATGAAATTTCCAGAGCAATGCACATTTGGTCTGGCTCCCCTAGGAATATGGGGAGAAACAGAATGGGGAGGATTTGAAGCAGGTTGGGGATCACAGTACCCTTAGTTTTGTAGTCCCAATCAAGTCTCCCAGGAAGGAGTTGAACTGCCATTCAGGAGAAAGAGCGATGTGCGAACGAACTAGAAAGGGAAAACCAAAATGAGATAGAGTCTCAAAGCACATCGCAAGCACCTGCTAAGAAGCAAAGTGGCAGAGGAGCTGTTGAGTGGGGTCAAGGGTGAGAAATGTCCAACACCTTGGGACATGCAAGAGAGGTGAAGATGAGATGGACGTTCCACAATGAGAGGAAAGGAAGCAGCTGTGCTGAGTGGAAAGGGAACTGGGCCAGGAGTCCGAAGACCTGACCCCAGCTCTCCACTTACCAGCTGTACGAATGTAGGATGTGGCAAAGCTGTTTAGCCTCAGACAGCCTCAGTGTGCTCATCTGTTACATGGGTATCAGTAATACCCACCTCACAGGGCTACTTGTGGAGAAGAACCAAGGTAGCGGAAACGAAAGCACTACGTAAGCCAGATTGCTCTAATGACAGGGTTAAGGATGAGAAGGGTGGAGAAGATTCCTTAAAAGATAAAGAAGGAAAAAAAATGATAGGTGCATTGAACTCATTAATAAAAAGCACTCAGGAAATATCTGGGTTGGGCTTTTTAAAAAGAGAAAAGGCAGCCATCGTGCATTACTACTTGATTACGAGTTAGATGCATTGTCTACCGGAAGCAAGAGGAGGGTGGGCTCATAGTAAGTAGCTTACTTCTGCTGTAAGCTTGGCCATCCACCAGCCATGGGACTGGGAAGACCTCACAGAAATCTGTGCCTATCTATCTTCCTAATTACAAAGGACGAAAACTGATTTATATTCTGTCCCCTATTTCAGAGGAATTGTATGGGAAATTACTGATGAAAAAGGCCTTGAGTTTACTGAAAGTATTTTCTTCGGTAAAATTGGGCTCTTGAAGATGTGAACAAGGATTTGTTTCAAGTAGATCCCCCAAGGATGGAAGAGTTGAAAAAAAAAAACAAGCTTGTTGGGTGAGGCCCAGAGCCAGTGGAGCGTGCTCTTTCTCTCATAAATTCCCCCAGATCTGAGGGACCTCTCACTGCCTGAGCCCTGCCACCAACATGCTTTCATAGCCCATAAAGCAGCCTTCCCTTCCTCCTCACTAGGTGCTGAAGGACATCACACTTGGACCAGTCACTCAATTGAAATGAAATGAGATACTGACTAAAATTTTTTCAGTGTTCCTCTGCTCTCCCAAAATCCATAAAAAACCCAACAGCAAGACATCATGGATTCACGGGTGAAATATCTGGAAGCCACCCAGCCCTGCCCATCACTTCACTCATTCACGGTCATCCATCTGAGACTACAAAGCACATTTCTTAGTTTAAATATTCTTCCCAGATGCAACCTCCTTCTGGAGGAGTTTTCATCTTCACTGAGGAAATTATTCCAGTCTACCCCGTGTCCTACTCCAGGCCTTTCAGCCAGTTTCGTTACCTGACTCTATCAGAGTTAACTTCAGCCAGGCAGTCCACCCCCTGTTCTTGTGAACAAGGCATGGCCATGGCCAAGCTCAGTTTCAAGGTCTTTTTAAAAACAAAATCATCCCATCTCCGAAAGTCTCAACTGGGCAGCACCTAAGGCTTACCATGTTCCAGTTTAGTCTCTGAAGTCTCTTACTCAATTGAGCCCAGTCTGAGTCCCAGTTGCCTCCTGTAAAATGAGGAATAATACTGATCTACAGGAATTTTGAGAGGAAGAATTTAGGAATTTCTGTTCCAGTGCCCACAGGGAAATAATGCTTCCCAGCTATCTCAGGTGGGCGCTCCCCTTGGCGGGCACACACTCTTTACCCTAATAGGGTTATGAACATGTTGTATGACTTTTAAGAGCCACTTCTGTCTTTGGCTTCTTGAAGGACTGAGCCCAACTTAGGCCTTCGAGACCTATCCGGATCGAGCCCTAGAGTACCAAGTTCCGGGAATATTTTGGTCCATGCTTCGTAAGCTTTCTATCACTGAAGAGTCTAGAAAGGCATGCTTTGCTCTGATGCTCTCGTCAAGTGGGCCAGGAACTTGAAAAAATTGACTTCGAGGAATCCCACTTCATGACACTCTTGCTTTAACCCGCATTAGCCATTCCCGCTTCCTTCCATGAAGACATCCATTCACTTGCAGCAATGAATGCAGCCAGTCCAGCCAGTTAGGGACAGAGCGATGTGCCATCTCCCGCGTTTGTACAGAGTCATTTGGAGCCCAGGGAAGAAGTCCAGTTGGCATGGGAGCTCCTTGCTTGAAAGCTAGGACAGGGTGAGGTTGAGTCCGTGTAGAAATGTTGGCTCCTCAGTTCTGGCAACATCTTAGGGTGTGCAGAGGTCTGATGGAGTTAGGAAGTCAGAGGTGAAAGTTCAGACGTGAGCAGCCGTATCATGAATGAGTAGAAGGATGGATGCATGAGGGGAAGTGATGTGGCCCCTGGGGCATCCTCCTGATGCTGTTGACATCACTGAACCTGGAATATCCAGTCCCTCAGTGTCCAGACCACCTACCAATGATAAAACAACTCACTGAGAATTTCCAGCCTGGCCCAGTCCAGCCCAGCCAAAGACTCTGACCAAATCCACAATCCTTGCAAAGGAGGGAGTGGGGGTATTACTTTTTATCACGGTGGGAAAGAAGTTCAAGTTGCTCCAACATTCAGGCCAAAGCAATTTACCTTCTGAAGGGCTTGACGTAAAGCTCTGTGACCTGGGCATCATCAACTTAGGGTAGTACCCTGAGGGTGGGGACTCTGGGTAGGGTAGAAATCTAAGGGGTCAAATTTAAAGTCACTTGGGTGTGGATGGATACAGTCACTTGTACAAGCTGCCGTCCTGATGCACCTTCCCCGGTCCTTCCCTGCACATCACCTCGGGCACACCCTTCTATTCCTCCACTGGTACCGCTGAGCTTTCTTTGTTCTCGGACGGGATGGCAAGGTAGTCAGACCTGGAGGAGGGCAGATGGGAGAAGAGAATCAGTCCTTTTGTACCCAGGGGTGGGAACCCAAGAAAAGGGAAGGAGCAGGGGCACAGGAACAAGGATGTCTGCAGAACAGCTCTGCATTTCCTTCTGCCTGTGTTTCCCAAGAGAAAACTAGAATGGCCCTTTCAGCAGGGACTAGAATACTAGGCGTTGTCTATATTTTTTTTCCTTCCACTAGCAATGCATGAATCTTCCCATTTAACCACATGGGTCTCAGGACTTCCTATTGTTAGGCTAAAATGTTGGCCACACTGCTGGGTGTGAAATTATATAGATATATATATATTTTTTTTAAGATTTTTAAATTTATTTTAATTTATTTATTTGATACAGAGAGGGAGACAGCTAGAGAGGGAACACAAGCAGGGGGAGTGGGAGAGGGAGAGGCAGGCTCCTGGCTGAGCAGGGAGCCCGATGCGGGGCTCGATCCCAGGACCCCGGGATCATGACCGGAGCCGAAGGCAGACGCTTAACGACTGAGCCATCCAGGCGCCCCTGAAATTATATTTTATAGTGGCTTTAATATCCATTTCCCTGATTGCTGCTGACATTGTACATCTTTTCATAAGTTTTTAGGTGATTTGGGTTTCTGCTTCTGTAATTTGACCGTTCATTTGCTTTGCCAGTTTTCCTTCTGAGATACCTGTCTTTTTCTCATGGATTTTTCTTTTCTTTTCTTTAGGTTTTATTTATTTATTTTAGGGGGAGGGGCAGAGGGAGAGAGAAGAGAATGAATCCTGAAGCAATCTCCCCGTTGAGCATGGAACTCAACACAGTGCTCGGTCCCAGGACCCTAAGATCATGACCTGAGCCAAAATAAAGAGTCAGTCACTTAACTGACTGAGCCACTCAGGCACCCCTGGATTTTTCTTTGATGGTTTCATGTCCTGAAAATATCTTCTCCTGGTCTGTTGTCTCTAAACTTTGCTTATGGATGATTCCTGCAATGTACAATTGATTTTCATATATAGTGTCATGAAAATTATCCTTCCTTCCTCTCTGTGCCTTTTGTATTTTAAGAAATCCTCTCTATCCTAAGGTAATGAAGATAGGGCCTTCTCTTTTCCCTTGATAGGATTTTCAAGTTGTACATTTTACCTCGTCTTTAAATCCACTTACAATTTATTTCTCTTTAGTGTGAGAGATGGGGAATCTTTTTTTCTTGATCTATTTGGAGGGGGGGGGCTCTCGGTTTTGCTCTCTTTGTGCTGTATGTCCTGTCAGGACAAACTCTTTAATAGCTCTGTAAGAAATCTTCATATCGGATAGAAGAAGTCCTACCAGCTATATTCGCTAAATATTGTTCTTTCTTTGAAATAGGCAAACCATGGCTCATGAGCTAAGTATGATCGGAAGGGTTGCCAACCAAGAAGCAAAACCAAAGAATAATACACAACAGAGACCCTGTGGAGAAAATAGTCACTAACTGGCCATCGCTTGGTTTGGACTAGTTTTGGCCCTTTGGTCTTCCATGTGACTTTTAAGATCTGCTAATTGAGTTCCTTGAACAATCCAATTGGGATTTTGATGGAAATGTCATTGAATTTACAGATTAATTTCGGAGAGAATTGCCATGTTTCCATCAGTGAGGTTTTATTCTCTCATTTATTTAGGTCTTAAGTCTTTCAGTAAAGTATTGTAATTTTCTCCTTAAAGGTCTCACACACCTCTATCACATGTATTCCCAGGTACTGGAGAGTGTTTGTTGCTACTGTAATGGAAATTTTTTCAAATGTTTTAACTATTTCAAAGTTTTTCTAAATGTTTGTGGCTGGACTATAGGTGATTTTTATACTTTTATGTTTTGATTTGTATCTACAATCTTGTGGAATGTTCTCACTAGCTCTGATGGTTTGTTCATAGATTCCCTTGGATTTTCTATGTAGGTGGTGGAGGAAGTCATGGGCAGGACGTGGCTGTCGGGTAACCCATGAGCTGGACTCCAGCAGTCAAGACCCGCCCCCTCCACAGCTTTCCTTGGAGTGCGCACTCCACCTGCCTTCCCCATTCCCAGAAGCTGCCCCAGGGACACCGTCTTAAGACAGTGATGTGGTATTGAGACTATCTGGACAATACACCTCTCTGAACCTAGTTAAGGCCTTTACACAGACCTTTAAGATTCTGGCAGGCTCGTCCTGTGGCTGCCCAAGAAAAGCCTTGTAAGTAATTCCCCTGGTTTATTCAATTGGCCACCTACCCATCTGGAGTGGCCCGCCTCTTCCTTCCATCTCTCCCTGCCCTCCAATCACACCGGGGAAACTCCAGAGGAGGTTGCAACCAACAATAGATCATTATATTGGGTGTGAATCATGATACTTTGGTGTCTTCCCTTACAATTTTTACTTTTTTTTTTTCTTTGTATTTACTTAGGACACTGCCTGGGATCTGCTAGTTAATATTGAATAGAAGCCGGGAGACATGTTTCTAATATTATAGGCAGTTCCAACCCAGCTGGTATTTGCTGGAGGTAATCTGAGTAGCTGCCCTTTATCAGTTTAGAGACGACTGGTGTTCTGGTTTAGTATTTATCCTGCTCAGAACACGTGGTGCTTCCTGGATCTGAGGAGTCTTTCCTCAGCCGCTGTATCTCTCAATATTGTTTCTCCTCCATTTTGTCTGTCCTATCCTAATGGGTATTCTCATTTTCTTTCTTCATGTTTCATTGTGATATTCCATCTTTTTAGATCTCTGTGCTTCATTCTGTATAATTTCCTTAGGTTTATGGCCTGCTTGTCTGTATCTAATCTTCTGGTGAACCCCTCCATCAAGTTTTACATTTTATTGACTATATTTTTCATTTCCAGATTTCTTAAATTCCTATTTAAAATCTGCCTGTTTGTGGGGTGTGTGGGTGGCTCAGTCAGTTAAGCATCTGCCTTTGGCTCAGGTCATGATCCCAGGTTGCTGGGATCGAGTCCCGCATCCGGCTCTCTGCTCAGCGGGGAGCCTGCTTCTTCCTCTCCCACTCCCCCCTGCTTGTGCTCTCTCTCTCTCTCTCTCTCTCTCTCGCTCTGTCAAATAAATAAATAAAATCTTTAAAAAATAAAATAAACTCTGCCTGCTTGTTTTTCTTAGCAACTGATTCTATTCTTATGCTTTTGGTTCCTCCTTTCATTGCTTTAGCTCTTTCAAATGAACTTATTTTCAAAATTCTACCAGGTCCTTCTTGTGTCTGAAGTTCCTGGGATTAATCCTACCATTTGTTCCTTCTCTTGCTTGTGCTACTTTTTAGCTTTGGATCAGACTGTGAAATCAGATTCAGCAGTGCCTTACGTGGGGAATCCTGGTACGCCTCAGCGTAGAGAGGGTCCCTTCAGAATGGTTTTCCATTTGCTTCTACATAGTTATCACTGTCCGGAGACTAATTTTTTAATTGAATTTCTCAGCTCAGACTAGGTTCCTGGATCATGTAGGTAGTATAAATTTAAATCCCAAACATTGTGACTACAGGCTTGTGGTTACTAATTCTCAAGAATCTTTCATGTTTCTTTTGGGAGTCAGGTCAAGATAGGTAAGTTTCCTTGGGTTTTTCCCTAGGCTGGCGGACTGATTTTCTGATCTGTCCTTGGCATGTGCTGTAGCCTTTGGAGGATCCTGGCTCTGCTGGAGGCCTCAGTTCCAACTCTGTTTTTTTGTGCAGGCCCAGTTGTAGGCACTTTCTGTCTAAGCAATAAAATCTGAGCACCTAGGTTTCACCAGGAATGACAATCTCCCCCAGCATATCATTACTTTCTCTCCTTATATCAGTTGTCATTTTTACTTTCCTGAGATCATAGGTATCATGCAAAATACTTTATCAAACATTTTTAAGTGATGTTATCTGCCTACAGTTTTTAGGATATCACCTCAGCAATGTTGCTAGCCTTGTAAATCTATGACAGTTCTGTCCTTTCTTCTCCCCGAATAACAGGCCAGAGCGGCCTCTGAGACTCTCAGACCCCATCATTTCTCAGATGTGCTCACTCCCGAGTGACTAGGGCCTTGGTGAACATGGCCAAGGTAAGGTCTGGACATTGGAGAATGAGAGCCCCTATTTTGGGCATTCAATTGCTGCCGAGCTCCAGGGCAAAGACCGTGTGGCTCGGAGCTCCTTAGCTAAGAAAAGGCAGTGCTCAGACAGCCTGATGAGCCAACAAATGGCTGAGTGTGACAGAAAGAACATGAACTTTGGAATCGAGAGGCCTAAATCCCAGCTGCTCCTCTCATTTTCTGTGTGGCTTCAGCAAGCCACTTAACCTCTAGAAGCCTGCTTCAGCATCTGCAAGATGGTCATAATAAAGCTCATTTCAATTGCGCAACACTGTTGAATCTCAGATCTGTACCTCTGAAACAAAGAATGCAATATATGTTAAGAAAAAAAAAAGAAGAAGAAGAAGGTAGCGGGAGGGGAAGAATGAAGCGGGGGAAATCGGAGGGGTAGACGAACCATGAGAGACGATGGACTCTGAAAAACAAACTGAGGGTTCTAGAGGGGAGGGGGGTGGGAGGATGGGTTAGCCTGGTGGTGGGTATTGAGGAGGGCACGTTCTGCATGGAGCACTGGGTGTTGTGCACAAACAATGAATCATGGAACACTTCATCTAAAACTAATGATGTAATGTATGGGGATTAACATAAGAATAAAATAAAATAAAATAAATAAAAATAAAAAAAATAAAAAGCTCATTTCATAGGATTGTGATGGTAGCTTATGGGCTTTATTTTACATCAGAGGTTAAGAGTACCCATTAAGAGTCAGCAGGCCCAAATCGAAACCTTGCTTTGCCTCTTGTAATGGTCTTGGGCAAACTCTCCCGGGCTGTTTCCTCATCTGGAAAATAGGTATATCAGTGCTGCCTACCTCGAAGGTTGGAGGGAGGGGAGCGGAGGACTGTGTTGATTACTTAGCACCTCATCTGTGAGAGCAAGCCCTCTGAAGGTGGCCGCTAGCATTATTTTGGCGTCTTAGAACTTACGCATTTTCTTGGGCTGCCTCTTCAGCCTTTGAGACCTTCCTGTAGCAATATATCATCTCAATGAGCAGCCACAAGGTGAGGAAGACCAGGAGGATGTACATCATGATCTCTGAGACCACAGAGGTGAAGTCCTCTCCAGCTGCAAGGGGGAGAGTGAGGCTCAGAATATGCATGCCCAACAAAGCCAGATCTGTCCCTGGATCCAAGATATAGGAGCCCTATTTTCAAGTGGGGCTTAAATAAGCCCTGGGGCTAAGGAGCTCGAGAAGATGTCGGAGAGATTTAATATCCTCTGACACTCCTCTCTGTCCACTTTCTCACCGACTTTCTTCTGGAGTGGGGGCTGCGGAGGAAGAAATAACAGAGCAGTGGAAGGAATCCTGGAACTGAGTGAGATGTAAGAGCTGGGTCCCAATTTTATGTGAAGAGCCATTTCCCTTATTTGAGACTCATCTCCCTACAGTGTAAGGTAAGGGTAACCGTTCCCACCATTACATTACCTAGTGTGTTCCAGAACGTCTTGTGAGATGTGAAGGTCTACACAGATGTGGGGAACATGTCTAGTTCAACCACCCGGGTCCTCTGACCTTAGCGTAGCAGAGGGAGAGAGCGTGGGAAACGTGTCTGGGGCCAGGGCAGTCAGCCGGGCCAGTGAGCTGGGGCGTGTTCTCTACAAGTCTAGATTTGGAAACAAGGTCCTTCCCAGTCCGTCTTCCTTCCACATCATCCCAAACCCAAAGAGAAAGGAGAATTGGAGCATTCCATGTATTAACCGGGCTTTCTGAAACACAAATCTGATCCTGCCATTTTCATGCGTAGAACCCTCCATGTTCCCAGCTGCCCTCAGGAGAAAGACCAAACTCTGTTAGCGTGACATGTAAGACCATTCACAGTCCAGCCCTTTTCTCCTCATTGCCATTCGACGCACCGGCAAAACTTCACTTCCCATATACACTGTGGTCTTTTGGGATCTGTGGACATCTTTTCATCCCCTTTCCTTTTCCTCGATGGTACTGCACTCCCCTCTGCTACCTCAGTCTCAATATCCCCTCCTGGTTTTCAGTCCCCTGAGCATTCTCCCCAATGCCACTGAAGGGCCCCCGTCTGTGAAACCTTCCTCAGCCTCTCATGCAGAGCTCTCCATGTCCTCCTCCGTGCACTTTTCCTTATCCGTCCATCATGACACCTCTCAGGGTGTACTGTCATGTGTTTCTCTCTCTTCTCTACTGATGGTGTGCTTATTAAGGACATATTTTACTTATTTCTGAATTATCAGCCTATCGTCTCATCCCGGAATATTTGAAGTACTCAGTAAGTATTTGTTGAATGAATGAATATAAATAAATATTGATCTTTGTTTCATGGCCAATCAAAATGACAATGAAAACATGATATATGGCAAATGTCCTGATAGATCTTCCTTTCTAGTGGGAAGGAAGGCTGTAGCCACATGTCCCATTGCTAACTCCTACCAGTAAACTAGATTCATGGTCCTTGGTTATCCAGAGGCCCCGGGCATCCATAAGGCCTGGCTCATTAGCTCACTGAAAGCACAGAATAGCCATAGCCATGACCCTCAGCTCAGAAAAGCAGTCCAAAGTCTTCACGATCGTCCAGGTTTCCTGGATGCTGGAACTCCCAGAGCTGGAGGTCAGATGCCGCTTGAGGCACGGAAGAACACCGTACACATCAAATGTCTTTTCGTGGGCTTGACACGACCTGATTTATGATGTATTCTTCTTAAAGTGTGCACTTTTTAAATGTAATAGCCCAGAAGCAGTAACACAGGAAGGCATCTGTGCTCACTACTTTTAGTCACTTCTAGGTGAAGAGACCTCAGATTTTTGTCTTAGAGCCAGGAGGGCAGAGCTTAAAGTAGGATAATTTCAGCTTGAACAAAGAGAACCAGAGAGATTCTGGGAGACCATAGGAATGGAGGAAATGTGGTGGGGTGTGTCATGGTGGAGTGTGTAGCTCTGAGCCTTATGGGAGCAGTGAGTATCTGGGGGGAGGTATTCTCAGAGGCTGCCAAGGGGTCACAGAGGAAGAGAAAGAGAGGAAGGAGAAGGGAAAGGGAAGGGGAAAGGAAGGGGAGGAAAGGGAAAGGAAGGGGGAAGGGAAGAGGGAAGGGAAGGAGGAAGGGAAAAAAGTTCTGAAAAGAAGGAGAAGAAAGAAAGAGTACCGGGGAATGGGATGGTGGTAGAAGGAAAAGATGCAGTGGACATAGAGCTAGCCCGGTGGGCAAAAGAGCTGGCTTGTAGTCCTGCGTCTGGTGCCAATTTGCTTCACGTCTCTAGGCAAGACCCTCACTGATCTCCCCGCCACAAAGTGAGGAGCACCAGAGCTGCACCCTCCAATCAATCACCAAGGGAGTCATTTCTACTGACATACACCAGACCTCACTCCAGCCTACCGAACTCATACCCACAAGAGTGGTACGGAGAGGTCTGCAATGAAGACAAGCCCCTGGGCGATTCTGACACCTACTCTTTGGTCAGAACACCTGGATGAAGTGAGCGCCAAGCTTCCTCCTAGTCCTAGCACCCTATTCTTACCCAGGCCTTGCTCTGGTGCCCAGCAGGCGGACTGGTTCAGCTTTGCCACACTTTCCACTGGCTGCGCGGGGGTCTCTGGAGGCAAAAGCCTGAGAAAGCAGTGGGTGGAGACAGGCACCTTCCGAGGGGCTGGCCGACAGCGGCCTGCAGTTCCCGGAGGTGAGCAGCAGAGGGCGCCAGCCTCTCCTCCCGGGAGGAAGAGGTGTGTAAACAGAGAGCACAATGGAACTTGAGAACAGAAAAATACCTTAGAGAGCTTCTGGTCCAACCTACTCGTTGTACACAAGAGGAGACGGGCTCAGAGGGGAAAATGGCTCATCAGGTCTAAATGTCAGTGATCTGTGAGTGCTTCTGCACGTTCAGAACTGACCTACCTTCCGTTTTAATCATATTGTCCACATCAGGACAAAGTCGTGACCTCTCTTGCCCGGCCATTCGCTCTCAAGTTTGCTTTATGAATTCTATCACAATAACATGAGAAAAAAAATAAACTTGTGGTGTGGAAGTTGGGATTCTTGGGAATCCTAGGAAGAGCCCTATCTTGACTTTGACCTCTTCTTTCAAGCTCCACACCTATTGCCTGCTCACCATTCTGCATCTTGGGGAAGCAATAATGCTAAGAAGATGCTGGAAATAGAATGCTTGAGAAGAGGCTAAGAAAAATGGAACCATCGTTTAACCTGGATGAGAAGACACACAAGGAGGTCCATGTATCAGTCTTCTGACACTTGAGGGAGTGTTTGCAAGGGGCTGGGAGCCACAGTTCCCCGAGTCCCTTGAAAGCACAAGAAGAACCCTGCATGAGAACACTCAAACCTCGCCATCACGATTCTGGACTGGATTAAAAGAGAACATTTAAACTGGGTTGATGAAAGGACTTCCCTGTCCCCCCAACAAGAAACTAGCTGTGGGAAATCTGAAGATTTTCAACTAAAGACTAGAAACTTGTTTCTCCCAGCTGAGAATGAGGTTATGAAATGAGAGATGCCAGGGATGGGGAAGGAGGGTTGCTTGTGTGATTATTGCGTGTGTGTGGGTGGAGGGGGGACAGAAGACAAAAGGCTGTCAAGCTTTGGTTTAGAACAGTGGTTCTCAAAGTGTGGTCCCCAGCAGCTCGGGCATCTCCTGGCAATTGGTTAGACATGCAAATTCCCAGGCTCTATCTACAGAATCAGAAAGTCTGCATTTTAAAAAGTCCTGCAGGGGATTCTGAGGCTTGCTGAAGTTTGAGCACTGCCCGTTCAGAGATATGTATGGCTTACATACAGGAGAGTTTGATGACCTCTAGATAACGTCATGAGATTTCTCTGTGCCCATCGAGTCAGGGATTCAACACAAGCCAGAGAAGCAGGTGCAGCAGATTTGGCACCTTTGGGCTTCAGGGAGGCTGTCCTCTTTCTCTAAGGATGAGAGGGGGTGAAGGAAGAGGTCATTCTGTTTTCATCTCTGAGCCTTTCCACTCCCAGTCCTAGCACCTAGGACTGTCACCAGACTAGACAAGTCAATGGTGACATTTTTAGATATCGCCACTCCCATTATACGGGTTTTGCACTCCGCAAGGGTCTCATTTGTGTGGAAACCCTCCATCCTCCCTCCCCTCAAGAGCAGGGCACCCTCGAGACCCTGTGCCCCAGCCTCACCCTCCTCGGTGACTCGGAGGGGGATCAGCCGTGTAGTCTTCACAAAGGGGCGATGTGCCTCAAAAGCAAATTCCCGGGACACGTTGCAGGTGTAGAGGCCGGAGTCATTCAGAGTGACGTTAAGCACAGTGATGGACACATCCTGCAAGTCTTTGCTCCCATTCCATTGCAGGCGTCCCTGGAAAGGGCTCTCCACCTCCTGCTGGCCGTTCCGATACTCATAGATCTGCAGGTAGAGAAGCAAAAGAGAGTAGGGCCAGGAGAGAAAATTGGGTAGGAGAGCCGGGATGGGGACAGGGCAGAGCAAAGGAGCAGAACTTGCACGAGCAGGGAAGAAAGCGGACAGTGTTACAAGGAGATCCCAAGTGTGGGAGTGGGACGAGGAGGCTCAGAGGAGGGCAGGGAAGAGAGAAAGGCAGGGAAAGGCGAGCAAAGGTAAACAGGTATTGGGGCGTATGGACACAGCAAAAGAAGAGGCAGAAAGGGGGAGGCAGGAAGAAGGATGGCAGGAAAAAAGAGGTGCAAGGAAAGACAACAAACGAAGGTAAGTGAAGGGGACGCCTGGGTGGCTCAGTTGTTAAGCGTCTGCCTTCGGCTCAGGTCATGATCCCAGGGTGCTGGGATCGAGCCCCGCATTGGGCTCCTCTGCCTGTCTCACTCCCCCTGCTCGTGCTCTCTCTCTTTCAAATAAATAAATAAAATCTTTTTTAAAAAAAATTTTTAAAAGGTGAGTGAAGGGGGCGCCTGGGTGGCTCAGTTGGTTAAGCGACTGCCTTCGGCTCAGGTCATGATCCTGGAGTCCTGGGATCAAGTCCCGCATCGGGCTCCCCCTGCTCGGCGGGGAGTCTGCTTCTCCCTCTGACCCTCCCCCCTCTCATGTGCTCTCATTCTCTCTCTTTCAAATAAATAAATAAAATCTTTAAAAAAAAAAAAAGGTGAGTGAAGCATACAGGAGACCAGGAGGGGGAAATTGAGAGACAGGAAGAATTGGAAGGAGACAGAGAGAGAGCAAGAGAGCGTAAGATGTGTCAAGGGCGCAGCCGGTGAGAGAACAGAGCAGAGACCGAGAAAGGCAGCATCCTGAGTCACGAAGGCATCTGAAAGCCTTGACCTCAAAACTTGACTCTCTGATCTGGTTCTCACTGAGAGGATGTGGTTAGTCGGGGTCAGGTCATGGGAAGGGGACCCAGGACGCAAAAAGTGTCACAGATGAGCAGAGCTGCCAACTGATATGCACACCTGAGGTCTTTCACTTTGGGCTGAATTATAATGGAAATACGGTCTCAAAACTTCTTTTCTCATAAGTCAAACAGAGAAAGACATGTATCATATGATCTCACTGATATGAGGAATTCTTAATCGCAGGAAACAAACTGAGGGTTGCTGGAGTGGGGGGTGGGGTGGGAGGGATGGGGTGGCTGGGTGATAGACATTGGGGAGGGTATGTGCTCTGGTAAGCGCTGTGAATTGTGCAAGACTGTTGAATCTCAGATCTGTACCTCTGAAACAAATAATGCAATATATGTTAAGAAAAAAAAAGAAGAAGAAGGTAGCGGGAGGGGAAGAATGAAGCGGGGGAAATCGGAGGGGTAGACAAACCATGAGAGATGATGGACTCTGAAAAACAAACTGAGGGTTCTAGAGGGGAGGGGGGTGGGAGGATGGGTTAGCCTGGTGGTGGGTATTGAGGAGGGCACATTCTGCAAGGAGCACTGGGTGTTATGCACAAACAATGAATCATGGAACACTTCATCTAAAACTAATGATGTAATGTATGGGGATTAACATAAGAATAAAAAAAATAAAATAAAATAAAAAAACTTCTTTTCTCAGACACCCCCACCTTCTTATTCTCTACAGCCGTACTGTCCATTCCAGTCTCCACTTGGCATGCGTGGCTACTTACATTAAAAATTAAATGACTAGAAATGAAATACAATGTAAAATTCCGTTCCTCCATTGCACTAGACACATTTCAAGGGCTCAGCGGCCACCTGTGGCCAGTGGTTACTGCATTGGACAGCCCAAGTACGGAACATTCCCATTGTCAGAAAAATTTCTCGGAGACAGCAGTGCTTTGTATGTCCACTGCAACTTTTTAAAGTTTCTTTTCTTCCTTCTGAGTCAACCTCTACTCATTTGGGGCAGACCTGGCAGCAGAATCGGTGGCGGGCATACAACAAGGCCTGAGGTCAATGGGGGACGTCGCATCTGGCCCAGGCATCGGGTTCCTGTAACCTGGGGGCTAGCCTCGGTCACAGTCAACTCTGAGTGAACCCTGAGATTTCAGGGGAGTCTATTGCTCCCAGTGCTGACACCCGATTGGAGCAAACACTCAACTCCACCCTGCTATTGTCTCCATTATGTCTGTAGAAAAGAAACTTGCCTCCAGGAAGGTGGGATAGTGCAGTAAAAACAGCCTTGTATCCCTGGTTCGAATCTAAGCTCTCTTATTCACTTAACTACTCTGGGCCCAAGGTGCCTCACTTATGTACGTATACCTTTTCTCTAGCAAACATATAGTGCTTCCTATATTCCAGGGCTATTCTAAACACATTAAAAATTAAAGCTAACAACTTTGAAGGTGACAATTCTCTGAGGTAGTTATGGTTTGCACCCCCATTTTAGAGATGAGGACACTGAGGCACAGAGGGGCAAAGCAAATTGTCCCAGGGCACAGAACCTATAGTTGTGGAATCCAGACTCAAACCCAGGCAGCGAGGTTCTAGAGTCACTGAAAGTCTGAGTAACGGTCATCCCCAAGGTGGTATTCAAAGCGTGTAACAACCAATCAGAATTGACATTAGCCACAGCACAGGGCGGGGACTTGGAGGCTCCCTGCTCAGTCAGGGTGATCCCTTAGTCTCTAGAACATGGGGAGGTCCAGCGGTTCCTAGTGGGACCGATGGTGGTGAGGCCACTTGGGAGGCTTGGCACGGCACATATCCACTACAGAACTATTTAAATATTGGGGCGTCTGGGTGGCTCAGTTGTTAAGTGTCTGCCTTCGGCTCAGGTCATGATCCCAGGGTCCTGGGATCGAGTCCCGCATTGGGCTCCCTGCTCCTTGGGAGCCTGCTTCTCCCTCTGCTTCTCTCTCTCGCTCTGTCTCTCATGAATAAATAAATAAAATCTTTAAAAAAAATAAATAAATAAAATCTTAAAAAAAAAAGAACTATTTAAATATTTTACTCACGGATGCAGCTGTACTGGGTATACCAGTTGAAAAGCAGCTTGGAGGAGGTGGCTGGGGGGATGGGGTAATTGGGTGATGGGCATTAAGGAGGGCACATGGTGTGATGAGCACTGGGTGTTAAACGCAACTGATAAATTATTGAACATTACATCTGAAACTAACGATGTACTGTAAGTTGGCTAATTGAATTTAAATTAGAAAAAAAAGCAGCTTGGTCATCCCTATCATTCTTATTTCACTGGGATCGTGAGATTTCAATGAGCTAACCTACGCTATTCCATATAATGACGCTGAGTGTCATTTCAACGTTTCTACTAAGTCAATCCATCCACTGCGATGGTGCAGAGAATTAAAAACACCTGCGAAGCACCTTATGGAGCAACTAGCGCACAGTAGGCTCTGAGCGCTATTTCTCTCTTCTCCCCCTCCCCCTGCTTGTAACCAGGAACGCTTGCAGCTGGGCTGGGCTGTCAGTCATCTGCTGCAGGGCTGTCAGTGCTTTGAAAAGAAAGAGCCAGTGTTTGTCAGATTTTCGTTCCCCAGACTGTCAGGAGCCAGGCACATAACAGCAGAGGCAAGCAAAAGAAAGGCCAGAGTCAGCAGCCAGACATACAAGGAAATCTTTACCGCCCTCGGGCCTGTAGAACCACTCCACCACCGTGGTGGCCTCCACCTCCTCCCTCTTCATGCAGGAAATGCAGCGCAGCTTCATGGGGTTGCCCTGAACGGCCTCTGTCTCCGAGGGTACTTCCACACACACAGGGATGCAGACGCTGACTGCAGAGAGGCCGGTGACAGGGAAGGAACAGCAGGTGTTGGGGAGGCGGGCACCAGGAGAGCGGCATTGGAGAACGAGAGGGAGGGAGAAGAGACAGAGAAGAAAGAATCATGAGACAAGCTTGAAAATCACAAGTACATGTATGTACATCTTCACCTGTGCTCCCCAAGGATGCACGCACAGAGCAGGCAGGGATTGGGCTAGAGGGGCCATGGGTGACCCGGAGTTCACTGCAAGCCTCCCAGGATGCAGTTAGGATGCGGCGCGGCCCTGAGCCCTGCCCTCAAAGACTAGAGTCTAGGTGGGAAACAGGGCACACACACCCATCCATTGACCATCCACGCACCCCTTCATTCAACCACCATTCACTGAAGTCTACTCCATGCCAGGCCTGATGCTAGGCTGAGACACAAAGATGAACGAAACTCTAACCACACCCTAAAGGCATCGAGAATCTAGCAGGGAACACATACTCCTAAGTATCATGAAATGGGCCATGATGAGTGCTATGCTGGAGACGTGCTCTCTGTTCCCAGAGGAGGGCCAATTATTCTTGGTTGGACAGGGGAGAGAGAAAGAAAAGGAAGATGAGGCTGGAGTGTAGAAAGGGAGCGAGGACCACATTGTAAAGACCTTTGTATGGCCTTCACAACATGAAGGGTCAGATATTTGCAAGCCATGGAGAGATGTAATTATATCTGAATTTTATGAAAAAAATTGTAGTTGAGGGTGCCTGGGTGGCTCAGTTGGTTAAGCGACTGCCTTCAGCTCAGGTCATGATCCTGGAGTCCCGGGACCGAGTCCCGCATGGGGCTCCCTGCTCAGCGGGGAGTCTGCTTCTCCCTCTGACCCTCCCCCCTCTTGTGCTCTCTCTCTCTCACTCTCTCTCTCAAATAAATAAAATTTTTTTAAAAATTGTAGTTAATTCTGATGCCTGGTTGGGGATGGAGCAGCAGTGAGGAAGACAAGTGAACTGACCACTCGGCTGGAGTGATGCTTTTCGCATAGGAGTGGAAGAAACAAATCTGGAGAGAGGTCAGAAGGGGGGGGCACCTTGTATGCCACATGGAGGTCTGGACTTACAGCCCCTGCCCTGTAGAAACTTGTAACCCATAAAAAAAGGCGAGTACATCAAACTGTACTTTCAGAATGAGTCAAAAGTGGGATGTGGCTGCCAACAAAGCAAGTGCAAATGTGGGCTGCATTAACAGATGTACAATGTGCAGAACGAGGGAGAAACAGTGCCTCCGTACTGTTCAGAACAAATCTGGACCATTATGATCAGTTCAGGGTGTCACAGTTTGCAAAAAGAAGTTGTTCGATGAGTGCATGCCCAGAGGGGAACAAGATGGAGAAGGATCTGGGGACAAAGTCTGGGGAGAAACAGATGGGAGGATGAGGGGTGCCTGGCTTGGACACAGAACTTATGTCTTCAAATATTTGAAGCCTGGCCTGTGGAAGAGAAAATAAATTCTGTCCAATTCCAAAAGTTACAAGAAAGTAAGTTTAGCTCATTAAAAAATAATAATAATTTTCTGGTGCTGAAGCTGTTTACAAATGCAAAAAACTATTTGGTAAGAGTTTACACTTCATTGTATACAAGATTAAAAAGTGGGATGTCCATGAAGCGTTCTTATATCAGGACTTCTAAGGCCCCTTCTGATGCTACCTTCTCATGAATTAATAATAAAAACAGAACCCCTAAAAGTGAAACAATACACATTGATACATTGATATTTAAAAGCTAGTACACTATAAATGGTTAGTCTGTTTCTGTATTGGCAGGCAGTTCACTCTAACAGCAGAGGAAAGCTTTATTTAGAGCTTAAAATGAGATTGACCAACTAATTGAGTCAAAAATAAATTACATTTGACTGGCTTCAAAGGCAAAAAATGTCGTTATTAAACATAGAGTTTAAAAAACAAATGGCACTAGGATCTGTCACCCCATTGATTGCCAGGATTAATTTGGCTGATCTGTCTGGCTAAGCAGGTGTCCCCTTCTTTCCTCACCACCCCGTGTGTATCCCTCCCAAAACCGTGCACTCAGTCAGAGGACAACCTTGTAGAGGAGGACTGTTCTTTGCTCAAGGGTATATGAGTAGCTGCGCTCACCTGCTAGAACCTCCAAACAAGCTCTCAAGGTCCATTTGTAAAGGAACATAGGGTAGTCAAGCTTCCAAGACTCCAGACATATCCAAATAAGGCACTGCACATAGCAGTCTGCCTTTCTTTAAAAACAAACAAACAGACAAACAGAGTGGCACTATGATGAAATTTAAAACATCAACATAAAATAAAATTAATTGGTTTTAAAACTCCCAAGCAAGCTGGGACTGGTCTTATCGGGCAGTCTGCAATAGAGTCTCCTGCTTCTGCATATGGACCATCACTTTTTGGGGAGAGAGTCCATATCTGGAGAGAACTGATCAGAAACACTTTCAGAATGTGATGTGTTTTGGGGCACCTGGGTGGCTCAGTCAGTTAAGCGTCTGCGTTCGGCTCAGGTCATGATCCCAGAGACCTGGGATCAAGCCCCACATCAGGCTCCCCGCTCAGCGGGGAGCCTGCTTCTCTCTCTCCTCCCCACTCATGTTCTCTCTCACTATCTCTGTCTCTGTCTCCCTCTCTCAAATAAATAAATAAAATATTAAAAAAAAAAAAAGAATGTGCTGTGTTTGAAGTCTTGATTGTTGACCTGGTTGAAAAAAAAAAGAGAGAAGAAAGTGTGGTCTGTGCAAAAGTTTGGGAATGAAGAGAGGTGCAGAGAATGTGCATTGAGAACTCTGTGTAGCAGGCAGCCTTGGGGCACATTCATATTTAATGAGACATGGTAAAGGTAAGTTAGTTCAATGATGATGACTTCAAAGCAGCAGAGGAAAATGTACCAAGGAACGCACAGTTACAAATACAGAGGCAGGATGAAGATGTATTTGGCAACCGAAGGCCTGGGTTTATCTACTCTTTAACCCCTGAGACTCAGTTTATTCATCAACAGAATGTTGAAAATAATATCTATCTAATGGAATCATCATGGAAATTCTATGGAATGATTTATATGAATGTGCTTTGTACACATACCGCTTGTTAAGGTATTTTACCCTTCATCTGTTTGTTCACCTATTCAACAAATATACTGTGTGCCAGGCACTGTTCTAGACAACACAACAGGGAACAAAACAGAAACCATCCCTGCTGTCATGGAGTCTACATTCCAGGGGAGGGTGAGAAAAATAAGGGACATTACATTATAATAAGTGCTATGAGAAAAAGTAAAACAGAGTAGAGGGACATAGGCACACTGGCAACAGCCTCATTGAGAGCGTGACAATGAGCAGGCACTGAAGGAAAGAAATGAGGGGAAGAAAGGAGATATATGAATATCTGTGTGGAAGTGTGCCAAATAGAGGACATAGCATTGTGGGGGTCCTAGGGTGGGAGTGTCTGTCAAAGCAAAGAGCACAATAAAGCACAGGGAACAAAGTGAGAAAGAAGGACACATAAGCCAGGGCCAGATCACGGCTGGTCTTGTAGACCACAATTAGAACTTGGACTTTTGTTCAGAGTGACTTGGAGAACACTGGAGTATTCCAAGTTGAAGAATAATATGATTTATACAAAATTACATGACCTGACTGCTATGTTGAGAATAAACTGAGGAAGTGAGGAAGGACAAGTGTGGAAGCAAAGAGAATAGTTAAGAGGCTGGTACACTGATCAGACCGAGACGGCTCAATGGTTTTGCTTGGATGAAGGTGGTAGTAGAGGTGTTGGGGTTTGAAAAGGAATAATTTGCTGGACCAACATCCTCAAATAGGTGACAGGTGATGTGCTTTAGTGAACAAGTAGATGAATTGGTCTTAAATAGGAGCACAGTTAGTTCATTTATAGTTAAAGGAGGGAGGACAGAATATATGCAGTCAGGATCACAATGGATAGCATGGCAGTCCCTCTTTTTTCTGAGTTGCTCCTGAGATGACAATAATCCAAGATATCATCAGAGAACGAATGTTACTGATTCCTTTCTCATAGAATTCTGCTCATGAGGTCCTGGATAGTACATTGCAAAATGGCCGCAAAATTCTCTCATCTCTCTTTGCTTGCGCTTTGCAATATGACTTGCTGCTCCTTCCATCAAGAGGTGACATCTGTTTCTCTGCCCCATGGAGACTGCCTCTCTGTCTATGAAATCCTCTAGATATCCAAGAAAGGTTGTACATATGGTAGGTATTCAATCCACATTGCTGACTGTAAATAATAAACTGCTAGAATAATCTTGGCCAAAATCACTTCACTTTTGGTCTCTTCTTCAATTTCCATAGTAATAATGAGGAAACTTGGGGCACCTGGGTGGCCCAGTCCGTTAAGTGTCTGCCTTCTGCTCAGGTCCTGATCTCAGGGTCCTGGGATCGAGCCCTGTGTCAGGCTCTCTGCTCAGCGGGGAGACTGCTTCTCCCTCTCCCTCTGCTGCTCCCCCTGCTTGTGCTCTCTCTCTCTCTCAAATAAATAAATTAAATTAAAAAAAATAATGAAGGGGTGCCTGGGTGGCTCAGTTGGTTAAGCGACTGCCTTCAGCTCAGGTCATGATCCTGGAGTCCCGGGATCGAGTCCCACATCAGGCTCCCTGCTCAGCGGGGGGTCTGCTTCTCCCTCTGACCCTCTTCCTTCTCATGCTCTCTGTCTCTCATTCTCTCTCTCAAATAAATAAATTTTTTTTTTAATTTAAAAAAAAATAAGAATCTTCTGAGAAGGTAGAATATGATATTATTACTAATGATTACATTTAACTAAGGAATAGTATCAATCTATTATGAGGTGGAGAGCAATGTGTTTTGAACCAACTCCTCTAATCTTTTCTTCTTTGGGCATTACTATATTGCCCCTCCTGAGCTTGCTCTAGAATGCTTTCCTTTGTGCTAAGATAATAAAGGCTTTTTTTTTTTTTAACAGTTGCCACACTGTTTTGTTTTTGTTTTTGTTTTGTTTTTAAGATTTTATTTATTTACTTGACAGATAGAGACATAGCGAGAGAAGGAACACAAGCAGGAGGAGTGGGAGAGGGAGAAGCAGACTTCCCGCAGACCAGGGAGCCCAACGCGGGCCTTGATCCCAGGACCCTGGGACTGTGACCTGAGCCGAAGGCAGATGTTTAATGACTGAGACACCCAAGCACCCCAATAAAGGCTTTGATTAGAATGTAAATACTTGGGGTGCCTGGGTGGCTCAGTCAGCTGCCTTCGGCTCAAGTCATGATCCTGGGGTCCTGGGATCGAACCCCATGTCCAGCTCCCTGCTCAGCGGGAGAGCCTGCTTCTCCCTCTCCCTCTGCCTGCCACTCTGCCTACTTGTGCTCTCTCTCTCTCTATCCGTAGAATAAATAAATAAAATCTTAAAAAAAAATAGAATGTAAATACTTTCCAAAAGAGGGTAATAAAAGAAGTTATCTGTAGATATTAACACCCTGAAATGATTTGCCTATCAGATTAGCCAGTCACTTAGCAGAGCCTTGAAAGAATGGGATGCAGCAAGATGGGCTGCTGGGAGAAGAGAGGAAAACATTCCCCAACACGGCAGACATCTGGGAGAGTAGACCTGGGACTAGAGGCTAAGGAGGCCCTTAGGAAAGGCAATGGCTTGGAGGAGGAGAGGATGGGTGGTGGCTCAGAAAAGAGATGAGAGAACAGATACCTATCTGGCAATCCTGCATAGTAGCACATGTGTCCACAAGAAGTGCTAGAACAAGTACTAGAAGACTGAACTCAGAAGACAAGAGTTCTCTAGCAAGTCCTTCCCTCTCCCTGAGCTCATTCTCTCACCTCTAAATTAGAAATAATACTATTTTTCCCTGACTACCCCCAAGGATTGATACAGTGACTAAAAAGAAGTACTGGATTGAAAAATGCTTTGTAAACTATAAAGCACCAGGGAAGTGTAGAGTTTTTTTTTAATTATTAGTATATACGTTATTAAAGGAAATAAGGGAAGGTTTTTCAATAGATGCAGATAATAATATAACAGAAAAGATTCTTTCCATTCATATTTGCATCATGTGAAAAATCAGCTTGGGAAGGGAGAATGTATCTAGTCGAAGTGGTTTCCAATACTAGAATTACATTCAAATAAAATGAAATTGCATTTGTGAAATGAGGCCCTTTCTTTTACATCTGATGGCCAAGTTTCCCGAACCATCCCTCTTTCCTTCTGCAGCTTTTAAGTTTCGTGAACCAATGTTCTGGTTATAAAGAAGCTGAGAATTAGCAAGGATGGGTGCGATGTACACACTTCTTCCAAAGGTTTTATTTTGGGGTGGGGTGGGGAGTGGGAGTGAGGAGAGGGGTGGACACTGCCAAGTTTAGCAATATTCTGTAAATACTTCCTTACTATTCAGTCTTAAACATTATCTGCCCCAACTTCCAAACTTCACATATGAGGAACCAGATACTCTAAGGTTGTTACATAGCAAGCTAATGGCAGAGCTAAGACTCCAAGCCAGGCTTTGTAAGTCCTAAGAGGTGCTTGGAATAAGGCATGCTCACCTCCTCCACTAGAATTCAGTCAGGGATGCTAAAAATTTAAATTAAGGTTTGGGAAGAAAGGCTCTGTAGAGCCCTTTCGAAGGCTCTCTGCAACTTCATCTCCCATTGCTTTACTCACACTCTTTCTTATACAGCCAGACCAACCTCTCCTAAGCCTCATGTCCCTAGCCTTAGCCTCCCCGGAGGAAATCCCAGCCTTAAGTCTTCAAGGCAAGTGAGATCATTGGCAACCTATTATGTCTGCTTCATCTTCAGGTCTAGTCTACTCTACTGGGGATGGATGGCAGTGGGTCTGCCTTTGGGACTGGCATTATTCTTCCTCCTTGTCCTTCCCGGACTGTCTCATCAGGCATTTTGTTCAACAGGAAGCTTGGCTTTGCTTTTGGTCACATGCAAAATCCAGATAATGCTGGCAGCCAGTAAGTCCTGGAGGCTTAATAAAGTGATACTAAGGCAAAGAGGCAATTCCCATCAGCATATTTGCCACTGCACATGCAGAAATGAGTTTCATGCCAAGCATGGGAGAATAATCCCACATGCCTACTTTCAATAAAGCAGGTGGGCACAATCACTTCTAATTATCCTGGTTATTGATTTTTAGCATAAAGGAAGGTAAAAGCATGGAAATAGTGGGAATGTAGAAGATCATGTGAAGCAATATATCAACTGAAGAGCACCTATATTTGACCTGAGGATCTAATCAGAATCACCAAGACAGAGATGCCCAGAACTCCAGAACCACCACACACACATCTTCACCAATCCATTCAAATGCCCATTCTAACATGCTCAGACATACGCTAACACACACATTCAAACACTGAGACATATACATCCACAGAGTAAACCATTCTCTCAATCACATATTCAGACATTATCACGTAGACTCATTAACTCTCTCTACACACAAGCAGGCACCCCACTCCGACACTTCTCTGCTTAGCCTTAGTGTTGCAAGTGAAGGTCTTCCTTACTTAGAGGGAGAAGGTCACCTTATTTCCTCACAGCCAACAAGAACCTATTCATTTTTGAAAGCAAAAAAAACATTGCTCCCCAAACACCAAAGCACATTAGCTTCATATGTTCATGAAAAAGAATAAAGATGCAATGCCCAGGTGCCTATTTATCAAAGACATAGCTGCAAATGGCTGAAGCCTATTTTCCTTATTAGACTTAAACAAATGGACCAACAGCTAAAGTGTTTTCATTTTCAAAATGCGTGCATCCAGCTTTTGAAAAAAGACATGGGAATTAATCTGAAGACCGACTGATTCCTCATTGAAAAATGAAATGTAAATGCAATCGAGATTTTTCATAATGAATGTGGCTGCATTCCCTTCCAGCAAAGGAAAAGGGAAAAAAATACTTTGGAATTAACAGGAAACAGGAAGAGGGGTGGAAAAACCACCAAGGGTAGCTCAGGAATAAAGCAGCAGGAGTGAGGAGGTGTCTTTCCAATCTCAAAATCCCAGCTCTCATGGAACCCCTATGGATCTCCATGTCTGGCAGACAAGCATAGAGGGAAGCCAACCAGGGCTCCTTCCTGTCACAAACATGAATTAAGTGTTATTATTGTTGGCATTATTACTGTTATCTGCATCTCGCACGGCAGGGTGCTGGTACTTACCCCAGAAGATGAGCACGAGGGAAGCCAGGGGAAACAATCTGTTGAAGGCAGGCATCTTTTTTCCGGCCGGTGGCTTCCGGGGCTAAACAGAGAGATTCCCTCGGTCAACAACTCGCCCTCTCAGATACTTTCGAGGAAACCCTTTGGGACGAACTGCCCCAAGGGGGCGACTTTCTGACTGAAATAAGGGTCAAGCGCCAGCGACTGGGGAGGCTTTCCGGGCTTTTCGAGCTCCAAGGGGTTTCAGCTCCAAGCTACACTGGCGCACCGCCCCGATTCGAGGGAGCCGATCCGCAGCTTCGCGCGCTCTCCCCGGAGCCCGTTGCTGGGATCCGGCTCAGCACCACGGACAGTACCTTCCCCGCCCACCCCGGAACTTCACAAATTCCAGTCGCTCAGCTGCTTCTCCTGTTTGCGCCTCGGCGACAGCTCAGCTCCGAAGAGAGCAGCACGGCTGGCTCTAGGCGGCTGGGCTATCGAAGGGGTCCATGTTGATCCACCTTTCACCTCCCCTGGGAATAGCTATGCTCAGACCAGGATCCACCAAGACCCAGGAGCTTCGGCTTCATCCGCCTGCACCGGCTTCTCCAAGCTGGGCGTGCCCCCCACACCCGAAGCCACCCGGGCCACCCGTCTGAGCTCCAAAATTCGTTCCACCTCGGTACTGTCCACACCCGCCCTCTGATCCCCGGGAAGGTCCGGAGGGGCGGGGAAGGAGGCGGAAGCTTCTGTCGCGCTGCCGATCTCAGGGGGAGGGGACAGGGAGGGTGGGCCCCTTCCCCGGAGCTCGCCCCGAGATAATGCCGGGGCCCCGACCCTGGGTGGCGGGTGACCAACTGCCCTTCTGCAGGTCCCCCTTGACCGCGTATGTTCAGTCAGCCTTGACATGCGCAGGCGGCTGTCCACCCCCTCCGCTACCACGGACCCACCCCTCGTGCACACACTCCCCACCCCCAAACAGGCGTGCCCCTCCCAGGGCAGAACACGGCGGCCGAGCGAGGGGCGGAGCTTGGAGCGGCGCAAACACCTCCAGACCTCGCGGTTTCTCTGCTAGCTGGCTGTCTCCAGGTCTCCCTTTCACATCTCCGGAGCTCTCCCCAGCCCGGGAACACCTCCTCGCACCAATTCACACCCCCAGGCAACCCCACTCCTGCTCCCGCACAGGCATGCTTGCCTCCAGCTCCGGGAAGGGGAGGGCCGAATCTCTTTCAGGCAATGATGTCATCTGTAATGTACACTGTACATGAGAAGCTCCGGGCTTCTCTCCCCCGACCCCATCCCCTTCTGTTCTCCCAATCAATCTATTCTGTCTAGCCTGATTAATTAGTTCCGGGCACATTGACCACAGCAAGAAAATCCCTGCTTGGGAGAAGTGAGGTAGGGATGAAGTGTACCTGTTCCCATGTTCACCTCCTCATCCAGTGAGGTGATCCAAAGGTTAGCGCAAGAGTGGTGCCGTGGGTGGGAACAGCTCCCTCTTGCTCTAATCGCTTTTTTCCTTTTCCTTTTTTTTAGTTTAAAAGCAGATAGATTGTGGTTTGGCTTCCTCCAACTATTAGCCACTCCCTAATCCTAGCAGCTGTTTCAGCGCCCCCGCCCCATCTCTGGAAGGGAAACCTGAAACTTTAAATTCAAACTCTGATTTGTTATAAATTCAAACTGACATAACAGATTAGGAATGCCTGGAACTGAAATGGAAGATTAATACAAAAATCTCCCCCTCCCCCTTCTTATTCCCTCCTGCTCCCTTTCCAAAAGGGGAAGCTTGACATTGATATTCCAAAAAAGAACGGGAGAGTAACAGCTGACTGTAAACGAACCACAGGCAGGAAATTCTCTTTCCTAACATATGACAGAACAGCAGAAGGTCGCCAAGATAGGACCTTCCTCCTGGGCAGGGAGCCACCAGGTCATAAACTCTATGTTGTTTTTGAAGGCCAGCCCTTTGAGGCACCGTATATTAAGCTTGAAAGAGAAGTTAAAGTTGACTTAATTCAACCTGTTCAATTCATGAATCCCCCAAGAACATTCCTGATGAATAGACTCAACTCTTTCTAGTGGTAAGAGCTTACTACTTCCCAAGTTAGTCCCTTCTGGTTTTTTTTTTAATATTTTATTTTTTTATTTGAAAGAGAGAGTGAGAGAGAGCATGGGGGGGGGGAGGGGCAGAGGGAGAGGTAGACTCCCCACTGAGCAGGGACTATGCCAGACTCTATCCCAGGACCCTGGGATCATGACCTGAGCTGAAGGCAGATGCTTAACCGACTGAGCCACCCAGGTACCTGTCCCTTCTATTTCCTAAAGAAGTTCTTCTTTACATTCAGTAGAATTCTGTACACTCCTCTTCCCTCCCCACACTCCACTAAGTGGTCCCAAAACTGTTTTTGTCACTTTCTCAGGAGGATTTGTAGTTTGTCAGCATGATTCTCAAAGTGACATTTAGAACAGGAAATGATGTTCCCTGTGTGGTCTGACCAGTATAAATCCAGGGGAATTATGGCCACACTTGCTTTAGAGGGTATGTCTATTCAAATACATTTACTGCCATATCTCATTCATTATGAGCTTGTGGTCAATTAAAAGTCCTAAGTATTTTTCACTTGAACTGTTGCAGAGTCGTTTTTAGTTATTAGGAATTTTGAAAAAATGATTATGGAACTACATTTATTGCTGTTAAAATTTATCAGTTTCAACTAATTGTCACATCCTGTTAGTACTCTTATTGAATCCACATTCAATCATCCAACATATCTTTCTTCTTCAGCTTTGTTTCATCTCTAGGCTTGACAATCACCTGATCCAAACATAGATGTTTTTTTTTAATAGATAGGGGGAAAAAAAACAAAGAAGAGTCCATTGACATGCTTTTAGAGATCTCACTCTAGCTTGACAATGAGCTACTAATTAGACTTTTTGATATGGTTTCTCAATCACAAATACTGAAATGTGTCTCTCTATTTTCCATACTTACAGCATGACACATCCTGAAAACTTAACACAAAGAGTGTATGTGAGAAAAATTACATTGATAATGGTCCAGAGAAAAGAGGTAGGATCGATGGTTTACACTTACATGGAAATAGATTTTCAGCAATATATTTCAAATGATTCCAAAGTGAAATGAATTACCTTTTGTTATGTTCAAGCAGTTGTTCTCCAAAGAATTACTGGGATGTTGCAGAAAAAAAAAAAAAAATCTTCTACAGGTTAGAAATTTGGAATAGATTACTGATAAAGTTCCAACAACCTTTGAGATTCTATGATTTTATTGAAAGTCCCATCCAAATACATAGAGCAACTGAGATATTTTCAGTCTGATAAATCTGTCAACACCACCCCCACAACCACCACCACCACCACAGTGGGAACTGGCTGAATTTTACATAATTTTTCTTACATCCATTTGTGCTATTAGGAAATAATCACAATGTTCTTTTCTAAATGTTTACCTGACCACTTTGAGGATTTTACATGAGATTTTAGAAACAGCTTATTTGCCTCTAGTTTGCATGTGACACTCTCTCTTCTATTGAAAATAGGAGCATTTGGTCTTTTCAGTTTTCTGACATTTCCTTTGATTTTTGGCAGTGGCTCTCTATCACTCTTGAAAGTACCTTAAGTTCCCTGAAGTACATTCTACCTTGTTCTAAGAATTTTTAACTCATTTTAATTGTTTAAGTTATGCCTTCCTCCTTTCTGCCATTTTGGTTTCAGTACTTTTTTACTGTTTTGTTTTTAATCTTTTCCAATCTTATGACCATCTTCCCTTTACAGCTGATGATGAAACCATCCATTTTAGTCTACAAACAGTAGCCAGAGCATTTTTTGTATTTTATAAGATCATGTACCTTTCTTGCTTAAAGTCCTTCAATGGCATTTCATTGCACTTAATAAAATCTAGACTCCTCACCTGCCCTAAGGTCTGGCTAGATTTTCACACTTGTGTCTACCATTCCCTATCTTGTTCACAATGTTCCATTACACAAACTTATTAAGCTTTTTCTCAACATAGAGCCTTTGTGCCAGAAGTCCCCTCTTCCCAGAATGCTCTTTTTTTTTTAAGATTTTATTTATTTATTTGAGAGAGAGAATGAGAGACAGAGAGCACGAGAGGGAAGAGGGTCAGAGGGAGAAGCAGACCCCCCGCTGAGCAGGGAGCCCGATGTGGGACTCGATCCTGGGACTCCAGGATCATGACCTGAGCCGAAGGCAGTCGCTCAACCAACTGAGCCACCCAGGCGCCCCCCCAGAATGCTCTTTATCCTGTGGCTGGTTTATTATCATTAAGGTCTTGCCTCAAGTGACTTCTCCTTAGTGTGGCACTCCTGGTCATGCTTTCTAAACTGGTTTCCTGCTCACTTTCCCCATCTGAAGCTACTCTCTATGTCATTATCCTGCTTCTTGTTCTTTATATCTTCTCTTACTATCCAAGAATTATTTTATTTGAAATTTAATGCATTTGCTTATTTTCTGTTTCCTCCTGTCAGGATGTAAGCTTCATGAAAGCAGCCTTGTTTGCTCTGTTTGCTGCTGTACTCCTATGCCCAGGTTGGTACCAGGCAGATTATTAGATCCTCTATGAATCCTGAATGAATGAATAAATGGACGGATGAATGAGTAAGAATATGGTGGAAGGGGTGAGGAGCCCAGGCCATAATCAGTAGAGGGAACAGAAAAAAAAAATAATCAGAGAAATGGGAGATCAGAAAGACACAATGCCACAATAGACAAGGAAAGAAAATATTGAGACTTAAGGGACACTCCCCCTTACAGGGGACTTCAGCCAACTGTGCTCAGAGATTGAGAAAGAGGAGAGAAGTGTATGGGGCCTGAGGTATTTAGAGATTTTGAGGTAGAGGGGAAAGAATGACTCTGACAGCAAGAGAGGAATGGCATCTGAGATATGCACAGAGATGTTACTTTTCCTAAGGAAAGAAACCCATTTCACTAAGATTATGGGGGGAAATTAGAAACAGCATTAGGGGCAGTGACACTGAGTAAAGATAAAGCAGAGAGAGATCTTAGGATACACATATGGATCTTAGTAAAGGAAGCAAAATTATCTCCTGAAAAGGAGGGGCTGGGAAGGAACAGGGGAGCTACAGATGGGAGAGATGGTGTGGGCCCCTTCTTGATGCATTTCAAGATCAACACATACCTGAACTAAGAGTCAAGATGCAGACATCAGAGCCCAATGTAGGCAAGTCGAGTGACCTGCTTTTGCTATTCTAAATGGATTTTGAAAAATAGTGCATAACCCATGGGACAAGGAGAGTAAAAAAACATGTTTATTTTAAACTGTGGCAAAGAGCACATGTGGGACTGGGAGATATCAGGCTCCCCCAAATCATTCCCTCATCCGAATGCCAGCTGTGTGGTTACTGTCACCAGCCAAGGGAAGTTTGGGATTAGGACAGGAAATAGTGACAATATGACCAGACTATGCAATCCCTTCCTGGATCTTCACATGGCAGAGAACCTGGCAGGTAAAATGAGGCCAAAAATGTTTGTTGAATTGAATTGAATTTCATCTGCTGATCAGGGAAGCCAGAACACTCTTGACATCCAGGAGTGCCCTACAAACACTCATAACACCTCCTGTGGGCAAGAGTAGCCAGTGTCACTGATCTTAACCAATCTTCAGGAAGCCCATGGTACACATCTATGAGAAAGCTGTCAATAGGTAGTTATAATAATCTAAACATTTGAATGGGGAAAAAGAAAATATAATTGGTGATAAGG